ACACACACACACACACACACACACACACACACACACATAAAGAAAGAAAAGAAAAGAAAGAACACAAAATATTATGGAGAAATTTTCTTAGAGAATTGGGACTGGGATTGATAAGTGATAAATTATAGTATAGGAAGAACAATGGGAATTTATTTATGCTGTCATTTTTTAGATCTTTTAAGCAGGTAAACAGTTAAAGTAAAAAATGTTGGTATTTCTTCTAAACACTCAATATATATTTGATATTTTATTTTGCTATTTCATTTTCCTGCCAATGGACATTATATAATAGGAAGTTCCTTACAGAAGAAAAAGACAAGTAATGACAAGTACGGCTTGCCAAACAGGAAAGGAAAGCTGAATACATGTGTATCAGTGTGTTTGGCTTAGACTCTACCTAGATAGGTTCCACAGATCAGACATATGTACGGAACATGCTGCTGTCATGTGTGAAGACTGCCTTAGATGTATTTCTGTGGTAGAATTTTATTTGTATTTTCATTGTAGTTCATGTAGGAATTTATTTCTACTGTTACTCTTTAGATCTTATAAGCAGATAAATGATGTTGAAAATGTTGACATTTATTCTACAGTCATTACATATTAAAATTTTAATATTAAAAAGAATGAGCTACAGAGCACACATAAGCTATTATTATCAACTTATATTAATATAGCACACTGTTAGGATTTATGTACCAATACTAAGATGTTACTATTAATTCAGCTCCATACTTTACATTAGGGTTTCTTAATGTTCTTGGATTGAACATTTGGCAAATGTGCAATGCTGCATCCACCATTATACACTTCACCTAAAAATTTTCCGTGATTCATCTGTTCATTCCCCTTCCAAGCCCACCCCAATCTCTGAACTTTTTACTATTTCTGCAGTTTTACTTTCCATAATATCATTCAATGGAATGATAAAAAGTAGGGGGAGGCATTCCTGTGGCACCCTATACTACTTGCTCAAACTTTCTGTAAACACAAAAGTGCTCTCAGGAATAGTTTACTACTTTTTTTTAAGTGAAAGTTTTTTTCCAGATATCTAAAATCTAAAATAATTCAGCAGCAGACTGACACAATATGAAATGCTAGAGAAAGTCTTTTAGGCAGAAAGCAAATGGTAACAGATGGAAATAAAGATCTACACGAAGACGTGAAGGGCACTGCGATTGCATGGGTCAGCACATGAGACTCGCACATCTTAGTGTATCCGAGTCCTGGCCAAAGACACCCCCTTATTTACATCTGTGTTGTGACTGTCTTTATAATAGACACAGGCTGCTTTCCAATAATGGAAAAATGTTTTTGTCTTCTAAGAGTTTTAAAAAGCACACCTTATTCTTGAAGTAAAGCTTCCCGTCCAAACACCAGCGGGTCTTGCCCTTCTCAGGATTTGGTGTTGGCAAGAAAGCTACCTTAAGGCAGCTAGAGAAGGTGGTAAGACAGGTTCCACAGATGATGCACTGGTGCTCCCCTGTTCTCCATAGAAAGTGCTGCCCAAAGTCCCCCTCACATTTGTTTGCCAAGAAAGTGGGTGAACATGGGGTCAGGGTCCCCCTGGCAACCATAGCTTCTCAGCCTCTTTCCCTGTCCCATACATTGATATCTCTGCATATTCTTTGCCGCCAGTCTCCATGCGCTGGCCTCTGCCATTCCTGCCCAAGGTATCAAACACTGCATGGCTCTGTCGGTGCTGAAGTGGGAGCAAGAGTGTTACCCTAAGGAAGGACCTAGAGGGTCAGCGCACAGTTGGGGCCACAGGAAGAAGATGCAGAAATCACCACCAGGTGTCACCACTGCACCACTGCTGTGTTGGGAAGGACAGACTTGCTCATCTGAAGAGAAAAAAAGTAGTTCTTTCTCACTTGAAGTCCTTTGTAACCACAGGATATAAATAATAGTCTTCAGACAGGTACCAAGTCCTCCCCACAGTGCACACCACACAATCTTGATGAGCATTCACCAGAAACGCTGGTGAGATCAATGTGCAGAATGGTTGGAAAAGGGTTCTTAAAAATATGCTCTCATCTTAAACCACTTTAATAAAAAGTTAAGTATGTATACACACTGGAAGTGGATCTAAAAGTGTCAGTTATATTCCCTGAGCTGGGCCTATATCAGAACTACACACATCTATCTTTGGAGGTTTTGCTGATGCTGGTGTCAGATCAAGCCCCAAGGCTGTTAGGACACAGAGGCAGAGCTGCTCTAGGGAGTGACATTTCTTTGGAGGTAGAACCCAAGATCTCAATGACACTGCTGCCACTGACAAGAACTTAGAGTCCTTCTCCCCAACCCTAGACCATTCCTCCCTGTCTCTAGGGAATTGTCAAAGGGAAACTCAAGGGGGAATGTTGCCTTGAGGAAATAGGGTTCATGCCAGAAACTGCTGCCTGCAGCTTGCCTAACCTGCAGAATCTTATGCCAACAGGTGAGTCCACTCCCTGGACACGAGTGGGTGGCATCCAGACTTATGAGTACAGAAAAAAGGGCATTGGCTTGTGACTCCAAACTCTGGTAGTAGCCTAGCCATGGATAAACATCAGGTTTGGCTCTCAACTGAGTATAGGAGCCACCACAGATGGTAAGTGAAGAGAAAGGAAGGCAGATTTGAAAGTGTTGGAATGTCAGAAGTGGTGGTGACCTGGGCCCACTGCCTGTATGAGGGGGTGCCAGGAACTGGGAGAAGCACTGAGATGCCAGGTGTTAAGAGGCTAGCTCCAAGTTGAATCCTCCCAGACAGCCCAGTGCTAAGTCTCTTCTGAGTGAAGAGACACCTTGTGAAAGACACCCCCTATCTTGTCCCCACATCCAGTCCGACATCCCCAATGAATCAAGGCTGTCCCTGAAGCCCTTTGACCTTTTTCTATCCCCCTATGCACTCAGTACAATGTGTGGTTTGTCTACAATGGTCAATCCTGCTCTGGACAAGGAGTACAGGGCTAATGTAATAAGACTCTATAACTGGGGACCTTAAGCCAACAATAAGCTAGAAAACAAGTTGTTAAGGTAACCCTGCTGCTCACACTCTAGAATTTCACATCTCACACAGTTGGAATATGGCTGTGCCTGAACCCTGCTCTTCTCTTGCTCCTCCACTCTGCCCTGGCCCTGCTGTAGCCCACCTCCAGCCCCCAATCTTCACCTTCACAGCAGCCTCCCTGGCCCTGCTCAGAACAAACATAGGCTGGCCCTCACTTCCCTCAGGTCCAATGAAAATCCACTAGGGAGCATCTCTTGACCACCCTCTGGGCTTTCTCTATAACTCTTCTCACTCAGTGTATCATTCTCTACATGGGCTAGAGAAACTACCTGCATTTCAGGGAGATCTTGATGTTTCTAGCTAACCCCACCTGTCCTGGAGACTGGCCAGGTCAACCAAGAGACAAGGACATCAGCCTGGACTCCTTGCCAACTCTACTGAACAGAGGCAAACCAGCTGAGTTCTATCTACTGCACCCAGGGTCTCCACTGGCCTAGGGACCATGGCAGCTCCTCATTTCTCCTGTGGTCCACTGTTATAGAGAAGAGTTATAAAGAAAGACACCACCATCCTGTCCCCACACCCAGCCAGATGTCCCCAGGGAATCAAGGCTGGCCCTGAAGCCCTTTGACCTATTTTGCAGGTAATCCGGCAGATATGGTATCACATCCTCCTTCTGGAGAGACAGCCCCCAGGGGCATCCCCACTTGGCAACTGAGGCACCAGCCATGGAGTTAGGGGCTTGTGAGTAAACCCATAAGCATAACAACTCTCTGTGATCTGGAGAAACCTCCTGTGCTGTTTCCATCTGTGTGAAGTAGACAATCCTAGAGTCTCTATCCAGAAAGTTGAGATGAAAGAAGCCTGTACATATGAAAATGGGTGGAGCTCACTTGGTCCTTATTTCTCTCCTGTAGCTACTCAGAGCTGAGCCAGGTCAGGCTTGTTTGTGGGTTGGGAGTAGAGGCAGCTTTTATGGAGCCAATCTCGGTTTGGTGACTGATAGGGTCTCAGATTAGCAGCCTGTAGTTGAGGGTCCCACAGGTCACAGGTGGAACTCATAAGCAAATATGCTTGGTCATTATAACTTGATGAGTGGGTGGCAAATGGCTCTTCACAATCTTTAGACCTGGACATCATCAAATTAAACTGCTGGAAGTCGCTTCCTCTGTAGTGTTGTGCTGTGAGGAGGCAAAACCATCAACTGAGGACTTGGGGGATAAGAAGGAAGGCGAATACATTAAACTCAAAGTCATTGGACAGGATAGCAGTGAGATTCACTTCAAAGTGAAAATGACAACACATCTCAAGAAACTCAAAGAATCATACTGTCAAAGACAGGGTGTTCCAATGAATTCACTCAGGTTTCTCTTTGAAGGTCAGAGAATTGCTGATAATCATACTCCAAAAGAATTGGGAATGGAGGAAGAAGATGTGATTGAAGTTTATCAGGAACAAACGGGGGGTCATTCAACGATTTAGATATTCTTTTTATTCTTTTTCTTTTCCCTCAATCCTTTTTTATTTTTTAAAAATAGTTCTTTTGTAATGTGGTGTTCAAAATGGAAATGAAAACTGGCATCCCATCTCTTTAAAACATCCAGTAATTTGAATTCTAGTGCTCATTATTCATTGTTTTCATCATGCTGATTTTTTGGTGATCAAACCTCAGTTTTCTTCACATTGTCTTCTGCATTTTAAAAATTAATGTGTGCACAAAGAGGCTGCAGATTTCAGGACTGTGCATTTTCAGGCTTGTGATCATAAGGTCGACCCGTGCGATTGTTCCTGGTGGCCCTGAAGTTCGTGGCTTTTCAGGTGGCCCTGAAGTTCGAGCTTGTGATTGCTTCACTCCTGGACTATAACTTTCAGTGGGAGGTAGAAGTTTTTCAGAGAACCGAACTGTGGAAAAATGACCTTTCCTTAACTTGAAGCTTAAAATCTGAGGGTCTGGACCAAAAAGAAGAGAAACATGAGCTTTCATGTCCAGATAACAGAGATGGTGAGAGATTGATCAACTCCAAGGGTAGCTTCACTGAAGAGAAAGCAGTTTTAAGATTTAAAAAGATCTTGTCAGAAGATCCCAGAAAAGTTAATTTTCATTCAAAATTAATAAAGTTACTCACGCAGATGTATGTATAATAGAACACTGCTCCTTTTGATTTTGTTTGTACTTTCTGGCCTGGGATATGGGTTTTATTTTTTTATTTATTTTTTATTTATTTATTTTTATTTATTACATTTATTTATTGTGTGTGTGTGTGGGGCCAGCTCAGCCCACCAGGGGGCGGGGCTGGCTGGCATGTGGTGCTGGGGGATCGAACCGCGGTCCCTGTGCTTTGCCAAGCTTGTTTCAAGTAGGTGCTTTAGACCACTGAGCCATCTCTCCAGCCCGGGATATGGGTTTTAAATGGACAAGTGTGTACCAGCTTCATTAAAATAAACAATATTTGTAAAAAAAAAATTAAAGTGCTATTTTGACAACTTGTACTGAGAACTATAGCAGAATTCAAGATAAGAATAATACTTTGGACAGGATGTGAAAGTAACAGATAAAAGTGTCTAATGCAGCAAAAAGTGCCCATGGAGCAGGAATAAGTGGGTCCAGAGCAGGGCATTCACTGGCAGGTGCTGGAGAGCTGGCTGCACTTTCCTGCTCAGGTTTTCCTTCCTGGGGTCCCAGGAGCAGAGTAAGGCTATGCAGGCTCCTCTGTGCCCTGCAAAGCCCCTAACACTCAGAGTGGTGGGTACTCCAGCCTAGCTCTACAGGGCTGAAGTCATTCCATCTCTTACAAATTCGGGGAGGTGCAGGTGTGCTCCTCAAGGTCTGCACTGGCCCACAAGATTCCAGGGTTACTGTTAGCTGTCAGAGCCCAAGTTAGCATGAGCAGACACTTCAGCTCAACTGTCCCTCCCTTTACTGGGAAAGGTTCCCTTGAGTTTAGGAGTCTCTGATTTACACAGTGTGCACGTACCCTATACATACCCTACACACTTATGCCTGCACTGCTTTCCAAGGGACCCCTTAACTATCCATTTTTCCTCTATTCTTTGGGGCTGCTTCCCAGTTGACCTGTTCAGGTGGCACATATTACTGGGTTGTCAATCTATGTAGGCACAGTTATGTGCCATGAAACCATAAGTTCGGAGTTAGTGCCTTGCTTGGCAAAGGAAGGGTTAGGTTGGGAACAGTCAGTGACTGTGTGGTCACCAAACTACATACCAATGGGGCACTAAGCAGAACACCATGAGGTGCTAGAGCTGGAAATGTTGGGGTTATGAAATGTTATGGAGCTCTCTATATACGGCAGACATCATCAGAGATGAAAAGGAGGATGTCAGAACGTGGGCTAGGGCAGCCCCTAAAGGAGCACCAAAAGGCAGCTGTATAGAGACACAGAATTTGGGAAAGAAGAAAGGCCAGGCTTTGGATGAGCCAGCACTCATGGAGGTTGGCACATTACAGACATTGAAAGGAAAATGTTGAGGCAATGATAGTGAGAGCAGCCAGGATCGGGACAAGGTAGGCATGAGGCAAGAGCCTAATCCCAGCAGCCTGCAGCACAGTTCTGCCAGGGCCCCTATAAGCAGCCCTGGGAGCTAACAGGAAAGTCTTACCTGAACTTCATGGGGTAACGCAGATGGAGTTGGATTCCCCTTTGCCTGGGAGGCAGTCTTGCACTCATCACCTCCGAGTATAACATCAAAGTAAAAAAAAGCAGGAGTTCACATCTCTACTGAAAGTGCTCTCCCTCCCTCCCTCCCTCCCTCCCTCCCTCCCTCCCTCTCTCTCTCTCTCTCTCTCTCCAGCTTTTAAGGTATAAATTGGCAGGAAAAGGGAGATAGAATTCAGAAACCAGAGAATTTACAGGTGTGAGATCAATGGCCCAGGAGACACAAAACACTGTTTTCTAGCCAAAGTATAAGAAGCTCAGAACCAATGCAGTCCATATCCCACAACCCCCAGGAACTGGCAGCAGAAGGTTCTTCTGGAGATGGACAAATGCTGGGACAGACATAACTGGTGGAAAGAACTTTCAGAAACCAGCAGACACTCTAGATCCCTGCCCTAACCCTGGGAGCCAATGGAACACTTGCCTCTCTCTCTCAGGAGAAAGCCTTGAGTTTTGTTCTCTGTAACGGGCCAAAGAGAGGATCTGAAAGTGAGGAGAGAAGGCCTATCTATGGATAGCAGTCTCAGACCAAAAGTAAACCAGGGGAGAACATATACTAGTGACTACAAGGCACTCTACCTTGACTCCCAGCAAGCTGGTGGCCCAGCCAACCCTTCCACACAGGGGAGTATCTTCTCATGGATAATCAGCTCACACTACTGTTATCTGTAGGTTTGTGCAGCTTTCTAGCATCATGAACAGCCACAGTACCATCTTCTCAAGGATGGAGGGGCTGCCACGCATCTCTGTCCCACAGAGCCACTTACAAGCCCAGGCCTGATGTATCTAGTCAACTCAATCTCAGAAGCCTAGAAATCACAGTGAATGAAGGCTGAGCACATTTATCTGAAAGACATGAAGGACTCAGAACCCCAAGTCTAGGCTCCCTGTAGCTTCCAGAATTCTTCCAGAATCTGTTGGGGAAACAGAGTTTGGGAAATGCAAAGGTCATGTAGGATCAAAGCAGTCTCCTTAATATGTGAGAGACTTTAAAAGACCAAAATTCCTCTGCTACAGGCATCCCCTTCTCCAACACCCCTCAGAAATCTTTAGAGATCCTCCAGAAGACCCCTTCTGCCCCTGCCCACACTGCCATAGCCCTCAGTGCTTGCCTGCTGGGTCAGCTTTGTCAGTGCTAGCCTTGGGCCTGGGCAGAAAACCTGGGGCCAGTCCAGGACTGTTTGAAACCCACCCACGACTGGGTTTTTTGCTCTTTCCTCATTTGTTGACCAGTCCTCTACTTATGAGCAGAGATCTCTGCTGGGATGTGACCTCTGCACACCATCCCCACTTCAGAAGCCCTCCATGCCCTTGGTGCACACTCAGCTACAGCTGTTGTGCTGCCCTAAGGGGCCCTCTTCCCGCCCACACCATGTCACAGCTCTTTAGGCCAGCTAGGAGTTGCACAGAGAGCAAAGGTAGACTGATAAGTCGTCAGACCCCAGAACAGCTTGCTGCTAATGAGCACTAACATCTGTACCTCACACCCTTTCCCACACATCAGTGGTTCTGTCTCTGCTCTTGGGAATTGTCTGGAAGCTTTAAAATAAGTCTTGCATCCATGCCTGGGTGTCATTAGGAAGAGGCTCTGGTTTGAGGGGCCTAACCTAGGCAGCTTCAAGGTCAGGATGGACAACAGCCCTGACAGACCTTCAAAAGCCAAAGGAGCAATGACCATGAGCAGGGCTGGGGGCAGGACTAAGAAACTGAACCCTGGCTGGCTGCCCCACATGGGGACAAACTCAGTATTGTCTCACTCCTCTACCATGCTGACCTCAGCTCCTCACCTCCACCAGGTAACCACAGCAAGCCCAAGCAGCTTTGTTCCTTGTCACCAGCAAGAGTTGTCATAGCCCACATGATCTGAGCAACTCTCAGGCCTCCAGAATTCTTTCACTTCAGCTTGCAGCAGGGTCACAGAGAATCGCCCTTCTCAAGCCCAGGCTTACATTCCAGCATTTGTCATGCAATTCCAGACCACAGGTCCCCTGTCCCAAGTGGGGTTAAAGACAACCTGCAAGAGCTCTCCTCACAGTTTCCCAGGTTCTGCGTCACCCCACTATTATGTGTGGGTACCTGCTCTGCCCTCTCTGGACATAGCAGATTCCCCTCATATATTGACCATTTCTAACTGGAACAAAGGCTAGAAATGGAGCCCAGAATTTCTAAGAATTTAGCACTGAAGGTAGGTCCCGTCACCTCATGCAGGAGGTAGCTCAATGTGTGCCATCAGAGCCAAATTCCTAAAAAAGTCATAGTGACAGTTCATTTTAGGTCAAATGTGACTAGACACCTCACCTGGGAGACATGATACAAAAGTGTAACAATGAAGAGTTGCCTCGGAAAAATCAAAAAGTCAATGCACTTTGTCAGAGAGAGAGAGAGAGAGAGAGAGAGAGAGAGAGAGAGAGAGAGAGAGCCCCATTACCTGGAGTAAATGAGAAGTCCAAAATGGCCTGTCCTTCAGCACAGCTGAATCCAGATTCTGTGGAAGCATTCATCAGGGTGCTCCCTCCCGTCACTTTCATCTTGTTTCCCAGCCCTGACTCCCTCCAAAAGGTCTGAACTATCCCTTACGTGTGGCTAGAGAGATGGTGCAGAGGCATTACATAGCCCAGTCTAACAGTCCCAGAAGGGATACTTTCCTCCCTGACCCAAGAGTAAACCCCAGGAAGAACTCTGATTTATATTTGCCTGATTTCATGGGGCAAGGCAGCACACAGTGACAGAGACCTTATAGAACACATCTGGGGGAAGGTAGCTCCAGAAAGAGATACTGGCCGAGCTGACTTGGGGAAGGAGCACCTGTGGTTTCTGGGATGGGATGGCCATCCCATCCTGACCACCACCCACATACTCCCAGAGGGCGAGGAGCAGACTATGGCACCAATTCACAGTCAGATTTTTTTTATTAGGAAATCACCCTCCAAACACAAACGAAGTGCTGTGGGTCCAGTGCGTTTCCTGAGGAAGGAGGGTCACAGTATCAGGGCTGCCAGGAGCCCAAGCAGTGTGGCCCTGACTTTGGGCCCCTGTTTGGCGCTCCTGCACAGCAATGGGACTCAGCCAGGAGAACTGCCACGAACATAACACGAGAAACACGCAGGAGCACACACAGCTGCGCTACACTTAAATAATAATAAATACAAAATTCCACCTGCTGTTGTGGCTGAAAGAAAGGAACCCAAAAAGGTAAAAGAAAATCAAGATAGTTTTCTCTCCATTGGACCAAGGGGAAGAAAAAAAATCCCCAAATTATCAAAATTCCTCGGTTATAAAATACTTTTTTAAAAATTCCATTATTAAAAGAATAAATAACAAAATATATAAAAAATAAGTTGGTTGCATCAAAATTATAACTAGAAGTTATATCAAGATTTTTGTGGCCTATCTTATAGTCAAATAATTACTTTTGCTTTGTTTTCCCTTATTTCACTCTTATGGTGCCTTAGTGTGGGGTCTAGTTGACATCATAAAAAAATTAATAAATAAAAATGTTAAATAAATAGCAAACATTAACATAAGAGGGTGTGAATATAAATACTTACATCTTGACAAAATTAAATAATTTACAGAATAATTAAACTAACTACTTTCAATGTCTTCCAGGAAGTGCAATTTCTCTACTTTTAAATACTAATTCGTAATTGCAGTCACAGTTGACTTGGACTCTATTTACATGGTAGGAACATTGTGTTTTTAACACATTAAATTAAAATTTATCTTTTCTTTTGCATCTTGAATGATCTAAACAGAAGTGAAGCCTCAGCAGTCTCCCATGAGGAATTCACCTCTGACCTCATAGATGTTGTCCCCACCTTTGACACAGAACAAGCCCAGCCACAACCAGGACAGAGGCAACTCAGTGACCTGGGTGGACCCGGGCAGACCTGGGCCTGAAGGCTACAACTTGAGAGGGAACTCAAGCCACACAGGTCTGCAGAGCCTCGGGGTGCCAGCTACTATAGATAGGAGACGAGCTAAGTAGGCTGGGTGCTTGCAGCTGTGGGACTGTCTCTGGAAGGCCTACTCCTAATTTCACCTCTGAAACAGAGTTTGTCCCATCCTAACACAAAACTGAATTAAATGAAAACAGAAAACACACTTGCCACATGGGCCTCACTGACCACAGACATACAGACCCAGGCATGTCCTCCAGGCACAGACCCCTGGCTACCAAGCCTGAGGCTGCCCTTTCAGCCTCAACAAACAAAGAAATACTGCGGTTGCAAACTCCAAAACTTCCCTGAGAACCTTGTCCATGAGCTTCCACTGGAGACTTTGAGCTGCTCTTCAGATTTTTTTCAGAAAACAAAAATAAATTGCTTTGTAATACTTCAGTGTCCCCAGCGCTCCTGTGAAGAGGCCTGGGCCTGGAGGCGCATCAGGGGAGACACTAATTTCCAGGCACCCTTTGGACAAACCTGCCTGAGACCACACCCAGCCTGCAACTAGAAGTCACTGTGAGTTAGAGGTCCCCGCCTCCTGTAGCAGGGTGAGGGAGGTAAACACTGGAGCCAGGTGGGTCCTCTCGGCGTGTGGCAGCCTAGACCTGGATGCCCCTCACAGCCTGCTTTATGGTCTCCAGGAGGCCCTTGTTCTCAGGGTTCTGGTAGCAGTCCCGGTTGGAGTACATGTCGGTGAGGGTGCTCACATAGGCGTCAAAATTCTGTTCACAAATTGGCTCCTAGGAAACAGAGCCAGGTTAGCCAGCCCTATCCATGCAATGGGCCACATGCAGGGGAAACCAGTAGAAAAACATCAGCCTCCATCCCCACTCCACCCATGATGAGAAATTCTGTCAGCTGTCCCGTCCCCCACTCCCAAACACCCATAAGCATTTCTGTCTGTAGCAACACCAGTAACTGACTCACTGCCACCAAAACAAACTTGCTTAGATCCATGAGCTACTCAGGGAGCTCAGTCCCCTGCGCCAACAGCTGCCAGGCCATTCAGTGCACAGGGAACCCCCAAAGGAGCAAAGGGTCCTTCCAGCAAGACCCAGAAGCAGAGGTAGAAGGGGCACCTGCCCTCCCTGCTCTCCAGAGAATCCCCAGAGCAGGTGCCTACCATGTGTGGAAGGCGAATATTGGCGAGACTTTGGATGAGGGCCTGGCTCAGCCCAGACAGCTCCAGAAACAAGGCTTCATTCTGTTCCTCGATGAGCTTGTTCTCCTCCTCGATGTTCTTCAGGTTTTTCTCCATGGAGGAGATCTGGGCCAGAGAGAGGTGGGAAGTGCCACTTGCCCTTGGCCCCATCCTACTGGGCATGTACTGGTCACACCTCACATCTCTCTGGGAGAGGACAGGGTGCAGGGATAGGCAAAGAGGGAGAGGCCGGCATCCCTATGGGGTCCTTGTCTCAAGGGAGGGAGTGGGCAGGGCCTGGCCCTGGCATAGAGGAAGCACTGTCCTCTGGAAATAACCTGAACCCTGAAAAGACCGCACTTGGCCAGGGCTCACTGTGCCTCTCCTATCCTAGGAGCAAAGTGAGGACACAGACTGACTCTGTGGCACCCTAGGCTCAGTCCCAGCCCACACTAACTGCACTCTTAGCTCCACCAAGCTTCCTGTTCCTGTCTGTAAGATGGTAACAATGATATCCACCTTAAGAGTATTAGGTGCCCCTTCACCAAAAAGACCAACACACTGCTTCAGTAGCCTCCCAAGCACATGGCCTCTAGGTCATAGACAGGAAAGTCTCTTCCCCTCTATACCCTACCCCTGAGCCTGTACAATGTTGTACTGCCTCTGAGATCTTTGGTGTTAAGAGACAGTCCAGGTATGACTGTGCAACTCCAGTGAACCCTGAGGCAGAGGCTGAGCTCGCATAAGGGCAATATGTGGAACTAGGCAGGTATCATGAATCCATTTAGGTGGCTGTGCAGGAGGGGGAGTGAGTGGCAAACACACTCCTGTCATCTGGTATAAGCCTGTGGCTTTAAAGGACTATGTGTGTGTGTGGGTCCCTTTCTGCAGCCACCATAACTCACCAAACTCCCTCAAGGGGATGGCCAGGGCCTTCCGAAAGGACACTATGGAAAAAGTGTCAATCTGTCATTTAAAGGGTAAATTTGGGTTAGCTTGGATTGCCTTGGTTTGGTTTGGTTTGGCTTGGCTGGGTTTTGAGATAGAGTCTTGCTGTGTTACCTAAACTGGTTTTCAAACTACAAGCTCACATGAACTCAGGGAAGCAGGGACAAAGTAGCTGAAACTACCACACCTAACTCTTGAAAGTTGGTCTTATCAAATAAAGAGAAATAAGAAGTGCTGTCCCAAGGTGACTGACCCTGATAAGGGCCTTGGAGACTCTGAGAGGGAAGAGTTACATTCACACATGTACACTCACACTTGCTGGGGGACAGAGAGAGGATGTCATTGTTACCTCCTGTGAACCTGGCGAATGCTGCATTAATACTAGAGCACACAGTGAAAATCCTACCTGAGCTTCACGTGCTATTTTTATCCAGGCTCTTGAGCAGCAGTAGGTGGGGTGAGCCTGTTTGTTGGGGAGAAAGAACAGAGCAGCACGTGGACCTGAAACGTGTCCAGCATCTGCTGCTTCTGAAGACTGATCATCTTCTTATCCCTGTGTCCTTTCTCTACCCACAAGGGGGCACTATTCCCAGGCTACCTGCTTTATTCTTGATCCCAGTCAATAGCTATAGGCTCCACAACTTTTTGTTTTCAAAGTAAGGCCTTTCCTGCATCTTTTCTAATACCAAATGCTCCTTTTGGGGAAGAGTATTACTCATGCATTTAAGTAGTACATAACCCTGTCACAGAGCCGCAGCTGTGCTCACGACATATGTGCTGTAGCCAGGTATTTGTGCAAAAGCTTTACTCAGAGAAGTCCTCAACCATCAACGAAAGGGACAGAACCTGCTCTTACCTCCAGTTTATAAGGAAGATAGAAGAACAAAAGCCAGGTGTGAGGGTGAGGGTGAATACTTAAAATTCCGGTACTGGGTGAGACTGAGGCAAGAAAATTACAAGCTTGAACCCAGCCTGGGCAACTCTGTGGGACCCTGTTTCAAAATTAGAGGACCAGGGATTTAGATCAACACAAAAGCCAGGGCCTGGGAGACAGCTCAGCAGAATAAGCACCTGCCTGGCAAGCGTAGGGTCCTGAGTTCAATCCCTGGTTCCGCAAAACAAACAAACAACCACAAAAGCCAAAGGTTCTAGTTCAATCATCAGTATTGGAAAAGCATATGGAGTTAGAGCTGTGCAGGCCACCTTGCTGGTGTGCAGCTGTGTGTGGGCCCTGTCTTTATCCAGGCCCAAACACCACACTGACAAGCCACCAGCACTAACTGAAGCAGAAACACAGAGAGGATGATTAGTACTAGATGGGCCCTAGCCCTGATGGACTGGTCCAGTTGAACTGCAGGCCTTGGAGTAAGATCCCACCAACAACATCACCTCCTGAGTACTGCTCTCTCAAACAGCTCAGTCCCTGGGCAATGAAACTCACTCATCACACAGTGCCAAGATGGCCTCTGGACAGAAGTGTAGGACCAGGGCCAGAGAGATTCTACGCACCTGGGACTGCAGCTGCACCATGGCGGCTTCCATCTCTGAGTTGGATTCATTCAGGTCTCGGATCTCCTGGTTCAGCTGTTTGATCTCCTCATCATTCTCCAACACTGCCCCAGAAAGAAGCTTCAGCTGGGGTTGTGGCATGAAGCCCAGACCAGCAAGTAGGGTTCAGGCCTCCTTTCAAGGTGAAAGGGGGTCCCTGTGTTGCAGAGACCTTCCTCCATGGTTTCTGAGCTCCTGTCTTGGGCATGAATCTCACACTTCACTCTGGGAAGTCTGTCTTGGAAACTGAGATGAAGACTGTACAAACTACAGTTTGTCTCCTGGCCTGGGTTCCAGTGGGAGGCACAGGTCTTCCGAGAAGTGTTAACTGCTGAGATCAAGGGGGAGACGTGTCCCAAAATGCTGAGGGTCTTTGCCTAGGTGGGAGTGAGCCACACCACCACAAGCTTCTGGGGACATGATTTCTGGAGGTGCTCTGGGCTCTTTCATGCCAGTGGCCACCAAATCCTCAGATCAACACAAAAATAACTACTCAATACAGGGCAAAGTCCCATGCATAGTCAATAACAGCTTCAGAATCAAGGCTCACAGGTCTATGGGCTCAGGACAAAAAGACTGGTCACGTTTTTAGCCCTGTCCCTAAGTCATAACTCCTGGGGCTTGGTTTCCCATCTTTCTACCAGGACAGGGAAGGGCTGGTAAATAGGGATAGCCCAGAAGAATATCCTTACCATCGCTGGTCTTGAACTTCGGGCTAAGAATCTCATCCCCTGAGAGTTTTCCCTTCTTTCCAGCAAAAGTTGCTCTGGGACAACCAGACAAACTGAAAGTAGAGATCACACATCACTGACCAGTCCAGAGACACAATCTATGGGCCAATCCAGGGTCACATACCATGACCAGTCTAGGACCATACACTGTTGCCAGTCCAGGTTATGCTATGGCCAGTCCAAAGTACATCCCCTGCATCTAGGAGACCCTGAGGGCCTTCTATGATGGGACTGCTCCTCATCAGCTGCCTACCCATCCTGGAGAGTAAGAGGCCATGGTCTGGATGTGAAAGCACCTGGAAGGTACCCCCTCAGAGGCCACCCTGTCTGGCACAGCCATGGCTGCCCCACCAAGAGCTTGAGGGACCAGGGCATCACTGTTCTATGCACTGGTCCTTCTGAGCTCTGAGGTCCACACAGGCAGAGTTCCCAAAGGAGCTCCATAATCTGACCCTGAGATCCTCTAGCAATGCAACCCATCAAATACAGATGCTCAGGCATGATCTTATTTTGGTGCAGTGACTTAATCTGCACCAAATGTCCACTGTGCCATTAACCTTTAATGAGTAAACATTAAAGCAAAGGGAGAGGTGTTCAGGAAGGCAGAGAAGGGCTCCTCCACTTGTCATCCCTGGTCCCAGCAGCCTCCTCTGTGGCTGTGGCCTATGGCCATCCCAGCTACCCAAGTGAGCCCCCATCTCCTCCCTGCTCCCCGCCAGAGACAGTGGGTTAAACCCTAGCTCCAGCTCTGCTCCTCTCTGGCCATGAGCCAGGCCCTTCCCAGGTCTTCCTTGCCCATAGTCTTTCCCCCAGTCAACTGGGACATGTGGCTGGAAACCTCTCAAGAGGCCTCTTTGCCCCTCCCTGCTGCTTTCTCCAGAGCCCTGACCACCATTCACCATTCACTAACTTGCTTATAGTCTCTCTCTCCCTCCCTCTCTCCCTCTCTCCCTCTCTCCCTCCCTCCTTCCCTCTCTTTCTCTCTCTGTCTCTCTCTCCACCTGTCCCCCAAAGGGCAAGAATTGGCTGTCCTTTGGTTCTCTGCTTTATATCCAGGCCTTGGTACATAATGGGCTCTTAGTAAATGTTCTTGTTGAATGAATGCACTATTTAATCCTGAAGGCAGAGGAAGAAAAGAAGAAGGAGAGAGAAAGAGAAGGGAAGAGAGGGGAGCAGAAGAGAGGGAAGAGATGAAGAGGATAGAAGAAAGGGAGAGGCAGGACCTAGCCACTAGGTCCTTTGCAAAGCATGCAGGGGATTCTGCCCAAAGTTTAAAGAGACTCCAAAGGGAGGAGCAAGGCATGAGATGTGGCCAGCCTAATGCCGGCCCAGAGGGACTCAGACAGGGTAGACAGGAGGCTGGTGAGTGTAGGCACATGGTGAAACATGAGACGCATCTGGCACCAGCAGCACCTCTGTAACTCTCCAGGTCAGTGCCCATAGTCATGCTAAGCCCATTTCTCCCCTACTCCCACTCCCAGGGCCCATGTTTAGCCCAAGGCCAGGGTCTCTACTCACTGGAAGAGATGGCAGGGCCTGCAGTGACAGTTACCTCCGGTGAGTAAGGAAGCTCCCATTGGCATGGCCAGAGCCGTCACAGCCTGGAGTGGGACAGGTGGGTCCCTCGCTCTTCAGTGACTTCCAGGAAAAGGAAGAACCATTGAGGGAGCCCTCTTTCTGTCTCCGGGCAGCCAGAGGGCAGCCAGATGCGCTTCTGTGTGAGGCATACTTGCCACTGATATGACCAAGCCCCACACAGCCTGGAACCGGGCACCTGGACATAGAAAGGCCAAGGTGACTTCAGGGTCACCAGAGTGGGAGGAACTGAGACTTTACCCAGCCTGACTTGGGTCACTCCACTGTGACATGCAGAGATGAGTCATACAGCCTCAGGAAAAGCCTTACCTATGGCAGCAAGGACTGTAGGGTCACCTTCCTCTCCCCTGGACTCACATACCCTATACAATGTGGAGGCCTGCAAATCAGGAGGCAGATGGGAGCACTCTGGGCCAGGCAACTCAGGGGAAAAAGGGACCTGTCATTTCTCAGCCTCTAGGCTAAGGCTATGCATGGCCTGGTGCCTATGGGGTATTGTAAGAACAGAGCTCGTGAGGGATTTGGCATGGACACCCCCATCACCCTTCCCAAGGAGGCTTGCCAAGAATGGCTTCTTCCTTAGTTTCAGGTGTTCAAGAAGAGGAACAAGAACTCTCACGAAAATGGCACCAATATAGACTGATAAACACTCCAGGCACTATGTGTAGTGTCCTCTTTGTGCTTCCGTCCTCGCACCTTAGGGAGGGACCTAGGCCAGTGAGATCTGCAGACCTGGCCTTTCAGAATACAACATATGACCAAAGATAAAATCCTCAGTCTGCAAGCTTTCAGTTTCATCTCTCCTGGAACCAGCGCAAGTCCTATTTTTGTCACATTCTGACTATGTACTTGTCTCCTGGTAAACACACAGGACCCCAAAGGGCACTGCTGCTCCATTTTACAGAGTAGCCTGTGGTAGTACAGAAGTCAAGGGCAAGACACCCTCAGGGGAACAAAAGCTCCTGCTGCAAAGGGTGAGGTGAGGTGAGGCTCATCTCACCTAGTAGGAAGTCAGTGAGGGCAGTCTGTTACCACGCTCTTCTGGCTTAACTCTAAGGTAGCCCTTGCAGATACTTTCCTGCCAGCTCAGCTGGACCTCTGCTTCCTCTTCTATCTGTACCATCCCTCTCTTGCCTTCCCTCCCTTTCTTGTTCATCCAGCCCACCAAGTCCTCAGACAGCTTAAGATGTCCACTGTGCCAGAGCAAGGTTATTTCATCCTCATCCAGGCAGAAACACCTCAGGGACACTGTGTGAGCTTTGGGCCAACCCCTCAGATATTTCCCAGCCACCTGAGATGAGGGCTTGGGCTGGGAAGAGACATCTGCTGAGACTCTAACACCACAAGATCAAATACCCAAATGAGAGGCTGACTTTAATCAGTCGGTACAGCTAAATCTGAGTTCTTCTTACTCACCAGGAGCAACTACTGGTATCCCTGACAGCACATTCATGGAGAGTAGCTCAGACATAGTTTCTCTCTTTAAAGCCAGCACTGAATCTTCAGAACTGTCAGGTGACATCATGTCAAGACATGCAGGGAGCACTGAGCTAGCTCTTCAGGTAAACTGATGTCTCCTGGAGCCAACTGTACAATGAGGTCAGAAATGGGGCTGGGACAGCAAGGACCACAGGTGGACTCCATGGGTCAGATGCAGCGTGGCTGAGGGCACATGAACATCCAGGGACAGTGAACAGAGCAAGGGAAGCGTCAGCTCCTGACCCCTGCATGGAACCTCGCAACCTCTAGAACCAGTTGCAAAGTTGTAGCAACTGGGATTCACCATAAAGTTCCAACCATGGCTTAGTCTCAAATGGTGCAGATGTGAGATATCATAAAACAGAACTCTGTCTTAGCAATCTTGTAAAACCACAGCTCATCCCTGCTAACAGAAGCCCATTTCATAGCAGGACCTGGTGATCCATTAAAGTTTCTGCTTCAGTCTGCACTTGCTTAAATGCAATAATCAATTATAAGTATGGTTAAGTTTATGGCTAAGGGGAAGCCCTATGAAAGTGCCATGGAGCCACTAGGAAATTTTTCCATCCTGCCAACACTGGACAATTTTTAAAGGGCACAACCTACAGTTGGCTGAAGAACTCTTGCTTTCTTAAAAGCAAAATGCAAGCACATTTAAAAGAAGAAAACCATTTTTCTAGTTAATCTGGAAAATGCTGATCTTGATCATAATCACTTGCAAATGCAGCACAACTCACTCACAATATCCTTGTCAGCAGGATCTTTGCTCACTCCATAAAGGCATTACACTTATCTGATCACCAACAAGTTCCTAGATTCTCAGGAGGAAACACACTGTTTGCCCACCCCAGCATTTACTATACTCATTATGCCAGCAATCACATATTTTTCATTGATAATTTAGCATTCATTCTTATTTTGTTATAAAAATCAAATATATTATATCAGACCAAACAACCAAGTGGGATACCTCCTTCTGAAGAATGTTAAGCCTGCTGAGTTAGGCCCCTCAGCTGAGCTGTGGCCAAGCAGATGTCTTGGCACAGTTGGAGCCAACTTACCCCTCAGCAAGGTAAGGTCTATCTTCTCGTTGCCCATCAAATGACAGTCAGGGAGGAAGCCGGCCTCATGGCTCTGAGCCATCATTTCCACTATTCATTTGCTTGGGGACCCACCACCCACTTTGCTGGGTATCAGCTCCAAGACTCCCATATCCAGAGCAAATCAGCTCCCATCCTAAGCAAATCAGCTAGAGTCACCCTGCTTACCTCTGTGGCACAGTATAGCCCCACATGCAGGTGGGCAGAGCAAGAAAGTAGTTCCTACAGGGGAACAAGTTTATAATAGTGCCAAGTTCCCCTGCAGCAGGTTACACTCAGAGTCAGAGTTCACCCATAAGCACTGAAGACACATCAACCCTCACCCCACCCCAATGAGAAGAGATGGATTTAGCACCTCATCTTTCCTGGTATTTATTTGTCATGCGTATTGCAAGGCCTGTGGGTTCCCTGTGGCTACCCTGAGATAACAGGACACTCAGGCTCCACCAGCCTACTAAACACCTTTGACCTGACCCCAGACAAGGATCAGCACACATGTCCTACTTACAACACCCTGGCATTGATGTGCCAGGTTTAAACACTTCTGTAAAAATGAGGATTGCCATTGATCATTTTGGTGATTGGCTGTGATGAAAATGGAATCTAGGAGATTGCATTGTTTTTGTTTCTGCTTTTAATTAGAACAAAGAAAAACCTCAATTCTGCAAAGCAATAAAGGAGCCAATGTGACCCAACATACTTCATCAGCTCAGGGTCCTCCTTGTCATCCTTGGTGGGAGCCACCTTGAGTCCACTCTTCTTGGCACGTGGGCAGCCTGACAAGCTGTTGTGGAAATAGAAAACAGTGTCCCCTCAGTCCCAGAGCAGCAGCTCCTTCACCTATCTCCTCTTGTTCTCCCCTCAGGTCATGTGAACCCCAGTAGGTATGGGAGGAAGGGAGAGTAGCCTGATCCCTCAGTCAGTCATCATTAGTTATTTGGTGATTCAGAACAGAATACACATGCAGAGACAGCCTTCACAACAGGGCCACAGAGTCAGGGTGAAAAGCACCTCTGTGAGCTCTAACTCTGACCTCTGTCTTTTCACCTTACTGCAAAGAGCCACGTGACCAGATTCTGGAAGCATCAATAATTCAGATGAGATGGAAAAGGGCTCTACATGTAAGCAACAGTATTGTCTGACTCAGAAGTTTAGAACTTTATCTAAGACAGAAACCCCCCTCCCTACCCTGGGCCCCACACACCTCCGGTGCGAAGCATAGTTCCCTGTTATGTGGCCAGAGCCATCGCAGCCAGGCGTGGGGCACCTGCAGAGGAAAACTGGATGAGACCAGTGCCCATGAAGACGTTTGACCCTCTGACCTCAGTCCTTGTGAGCCTATGGTCTTCCAAACATCTGCCATCATTAAGCATCTCTTTGCAGAGGAACACCAGTGTTGATGGGCCACAACCTGCTGGTGCTATCACTGACTGTCTTATGGCGTCATCTCAGGGTCTCAAGTACTATCTAGTCAGCCCATCAGAAGGCCTCAAGGAGAGTAGCTTCAGGGCAGCAGGGACAGCACTGCTGGGTCCACTGTATCTTAAACAGATTAGAGGCTCCTCATTCAGCCTTCTTCACAGTTCTAGCCTGGACTAGAAGCATTCAGAATATATCTGAACTTTAGACATGAGCGCGCAGGATGGCACACATAGCACCTGCAGTCACTTGGTTCTCATAGTCATGGAGGTTACATGGAGGATTCATAGTAGCTGAGAAGTGAACAAATCACCAGCTACTTGGATGCTGCTGGTCTAGGCCTTTGTAGCAAGTATGGAACTCACACATCAGTGCTTTTAGTCCAATAGTGAGCACCAGCAGAAGGTAAGGAGAAGAGATACAAAGCACAGAACTCCAACTTTATATACTCAAAATGCTTGATGAATGTATCACATAAAGTGGCAAAAAAATCACACTTCAATATTAGAGCCATAAACATTCTTCCAAATGTCCACTGAGGAAACCTGTGTGAGCCCCTGCAGGTGTTAGCATGGAGAAGAGCACTGTTTCTGCAGGGGGTTGTCTCCCCAGTGGATCTGCGCTTCTGAACCTTTTTTTTTTTTTTTGTGGAACTGGGGATTGAACTCAGACTCTTGCGCTTGCCAGAGAAGTGTTTATTCCACTGAGCCATCTCCCCGGCCCTCTGTTTTTTTTGTTGTTGTTGTTGTTGTTTTCTCTTCTGAACTTTGCCCCTCGTGACGAAGCCAGCCTGCAGAAGCCAGGCAAGCATTTGTTGCTAGAATCTAAACATCCCTCCACTCAGAGCACTGCTCTGTGCACTTCAGGCTCCCAGAGGATTCCACTGTCTCTGAGCCATGAGAAGCAGGGTCTAGCCTTTAGGACAGAGAATATAACTATTTGGAGAACAAAAACTGGGCACAGCACCAAAGAACTCCCCTGACATGACAGGGCTAGCTTTACCCCTTGAAACATTCTCCCCAACCCTCTGGAGTTTTCCTGAAGTGTCCTCTTAGGGTATCTCGGGTCCCTCATCCCTCCCCTCTGTCATCCACTGGATGTGCTGCTGGCCTATCATCTGGCGAGCCTGTGGATGCTGTGTTAACATCAATCTGCCTCTGCTCTCTAGAAGCCCAAGTCTAGGGAACTGAAGAGGTCTTCCCCCCCTCCTAGTTGGCATCAGCTTAGGAAGAGGTCTGGGGCTCTGACTCCTTGTATCAGTATCAGGGAAGCATCTGGCAGAACTCAGGCTTGGCACTCAGGGTGGTGATCTCTCTGGGCTATTGATGTCAGCAGTGGTGAGGTACAGACACTTCTGAAGACACTGGCGAGCCTTGGGTGGATCTTTGACTCCCACAGGTACTTGGCTCAAGATTGGTGGGCTGTCCTGCACTCCACACCAAGACCTGATGCAATGATTTTTTCCAAGAGTTGTGTCCAGGAGAGGGCAGTATTCATGCAATCAGAGGAGCAGTTGTCCTCATTGTGCTTCTTTTGGCTTGTGGCCCGCAGGGTTGGAGCCCCTCTACTCCCTCACATCACCTGCTTCTGTGTACCTTGTCTGAACAGAAGGAAGATTCTGGACCCAAGGATCACAGTCTGTCATTGCAGCACACTGGGTCTCACTCTCACCCCATCCTCAGGCTGGGAGATTACCCCTGCCCTGTGTAGAACCCTGCACACCCAGAGATGTGTGGGTACACCTGGACTCCCCACACGCATGGGGAGTTGAGGAGCATAAGGCAGTTCCTAAACTCGGTGGCACACAGAGAACAGTAAATGCTTTTTAGACCTACTTACAATACAGGAAACACCTCATCTAAAAGCCTCCACACCCAGCATAAAGAGAGAGACCAACAAAGAACCCTGCCTTCCCCAGCTCAGCTATCCTGATGCTTGCTCAGAAAGGAGGAAGGCAGAGGGCAAAAGAAGCATTAATACATCAGGCAAGAGGTGCCGCCCATGACTGCCCACTGTGGCCTGCGGCGAGGAGATGGGCCCTCCAGCATGAGACCCAAGGCAGAAAAGAGCTACAGAGTGAGGCAGACACAGGCTGGCCACCTGGCCACACCTTGCCATGGCTGAGACTTTTCATGGAGAGGACAGCATTCATGGAATCAGAGGAGCAGTTGTTCTCATTGTGCCCGCAGGGTTGGAGGTAGATATTTGGGGTTAAGCTTCTTCACCACCTCTAAGTCTTGCCAAGGTGCCACTACTCCTCAGGCCACATCTCTGACCAGATCATGCTGAGTTTCCTTCTGGCAGACCTCAACATCTACTTTAGGACCACAAGGTACACATGGATACACCGCTGGCTCTAAAATTATTTAGGCTTTTGAGTTATAAAACCATGAGAAGAAAGCAGTTAGAAAACAGCAGAATTGGAAAAGAAAATGGGGCAGGGGATGCAAGAAAAATGGCAAGAGAAGAAAGGGGAAACAGGGTCTACCCAGGGCTGTAGGGCTCAGTGTCCCAGCAGCAGGGGACAGTCAGGAGTAGGAGGGTGGCAGAGGGGTGAATGAGTGTGCGAACATGCTCTTCATTCCAAGAAAGAGAGTGGCCCTCCTCCGGTCCTCTGTGGTGAAGACATGCAGTAGTGCACTATTTCACAGAAGGACAGAGAAGAGGCTTCCAGGTGGGAAATGTAGACCCAGGAATTTCTTTGATGCCCTAAATCAGCTCTGGTGCCTTGAGGCCTTCAACACTCCCCTTCTTCTTCACAGAGGTCATAGTGCCCCACTCTTCTCTGGTCCCAAAATAGGGCCATGAATCCTTAGCCTGGATTCAGGACCCCATAAAACAAAGGCACATGAGAGAGAGAGAGCCAGCCTAGGAGGTTGTAAACTGAGGAAACAGTGGCACCTCCTGCATCCACTCAGCCCTCATGCCCAGGATGAGGTCCCTGTTGCCAGGGATCCAGGCCTTGTACTGTCACAGCTCAACAGAAGGCCTGAGGACCAAGAGCAATGTCAGTTTCCAGCTCCAGTCCCAAGAGGACAGACACCTAGAAACCTCAGGTGCTTGCACCTCATTTGTGTGGGGCTATAGAGCAGGCTAGAGGGGGACCCAAAGGGCCTGCCTACTCATGTGTTACAGGCAGGGAGACACAGAAGCAGAAAGGAGGCCAGCAAAGAGAAGGTAGGAGCATAGAGTGAGGCTAACTGGGAGGATGCAAAGGTGGAAGCCGAGCAGCCAATGGGTGCAGGAGAAGGGAGGGCAAGGAACTGTTTGCACCATCTATGTCCAGTTCACATGGCAAGAGCCACACAGCCTGCAGCCACTGAGCCATGGCAAGCCTTTGGAGCCACACCCAATTCCAGGCTTTTCCCAAATCTGTAAGGCAGTAGGCAAAGCAGGCCCAGACAGCCCTGTTAGCACCCTCAGGAGAGGCTACAGGAAGAGTGAGTGCTGTGCAGGAGCCTGATGCAGTCCCTGACTCAGCCCAAGGTGAGGAGTGGATGACAGTGCTCAGGGCAGGGAATGACAGGTGGCAGAGAGAGCAGCAGCAGCAGCCTCAGCCACACAGAATCGGCCCTTCCTTGGCCCTGCCCCTCCACCCCCACCCAGGAGAGCAGGGCCAGCCTGGGGTGGCACCTTGGAAAAGGCCGATTTTGGCAGGAGCCTCACAGAGGAGAGAGCAAAGCAGGGGTGCTGCCCAAGAGACAGGAGGTCAGGGAGCGCAAACATACTTGAGGTCAGCAGAGTGGGCAGCCATGAGGTTTCTGAGGCTCTTGTCAGCAAGAGGGCAACCAGAGAGGCTGAAAGAGAAGAGATGGGATATGGGGTGAGCCAAGAGGGGGAGCAGAGGAGAAGAGGAGGAAGACCCCCCACAAAGCACTAAGACCAGGCCAGCAGAGCAGGGGACGAACCTGCGGTGGGAGGCATAGTTCCCGGTGATGTGGCCACTGCCGTCACAGCCGGGGGTGGGACAGCTGGACAAAGGAAAAAGAGTGTCAGAACAGGGACTGGCACATGCCCGGAGGTCTGCCCCAAGACCAGCCTGCAACCAGGCCCACTCCCAGCTCCTCCCCACCATCCTGGAGCCCTTTCCTCTCAGATAGGAAGTTCCTCCCATGCATTTGAACTCAAGAAGGACACAAACTGAACATGCGGATGTCCTGAAGCCTCCATGTCGTATGTGTACATGGATGTGCCTGTGAACACGTAGTTGGGGAGCTCCTATTCTCTCTAGCTTCCAAAATAGCATGGCTTTCCCTGAGGACAACTGGGCTCCAGTATAAGAGGAAACAGGTAGGGTTCAAGGCAGAGAGAAGAATGATCCTCTCCTCCCAGGAGTGACCTCTGAGCACCAGCCATAGGTTCTGCCTGTTTCAGCCACACAAAGACCAGGTCAGGGTTGGCCTGTAGCTCACTCTACCAGAGTTGAGGACACAGTCAGAGGGCAGTGACTCCAAGCCCTCTGGCCCTGAACACAGGCAGAAGGTGTCCAGCTGGGCCTCTGTTATCCCTGAGGGTTCCTGACAGGCACTCTGCTCCTCGTGACACCATGGCCCTCAGCCTATGCTGCTTTGTCCCTCTTTGAGCAGTGGGCCAGGGGCTCCTGCCTGTTCTCCCTGTTGCTCTTAGAGGATTGCATTAATCCCAGCACAACATAGAGATCGCAGGAAAACTTTGTCACATGTGGGATGCCTAGATGAAGAGGCTCTGGACAGAGAAGATCCTGTTGCCGTGGACTGAGCCCAGGCCTGCTCCTCCCTGACTGGGAGTGTGCCAGCTATGGCGGCACTTACGTGAGCAGCTCCTTCTTTATGTCCTTGGAGAGAAACTTCAGCTTAAAGTTTGTCAGGGTGACTTCCCCTGGGTACTTCCGCTCCTCAAAGTTCTCTTCTGACACCTCCTGGTCATCTGCTTCAGAAGAAGCAAAAGAATGTGCTGCTGGCTCTGACTGCAAAAAACCAGCAGGGAGATGTTTTAACAGCTGGCGGAGGCCTGGGCACCCAGCCCAGTGGGTGAGGGAAGGGACCCTTCAGGAGAGTGCCAATGATGCATTTTCCAGAGTCTCTTGCCTTACAGGGGAGGAAGGAAATCTCACTCCTCCAGTAATGAGACACAGAAGACAGCCCTTCAGGCCACAGCTAGGAAGCCTCCTCTTTGGAGGAGACTACCTCAAAAACAGAGGTTTGTATGGCCCAGAATAAGGTTTCTGATGCCCACTGTGGCCTCTGGTCACCTCCACCACATCATTCCACACCACTGACGCCTAGTATTTCTCTTTGGGGAGGGACTGTGCTCAGTCATCAGCAGACATTAAGTAGGTTGCCATGGAGCTGAGCAGTATGCATAATCACAAAGTTTGTAAACACAGTAACTTTGAAACCCACTGTCCTGACCCCCATGATGTGTTGGCTACAGCAGGCACTTTACAATACTACCAACTGAACACTGGGTCTAGAGTGTTTGTCCACACACAGGCTCAGCTGTGGACACTGCTGAGCAATGAAAAGCTGCTTTTGTGAAGTCAGAATAGTCAAATTCCCACAGGAGGCTGCAGCAGAGGTCACATTCCAATGTTGGCACCTACTCACAGCAGGTTCCAGCAGGTAGTTGAGGTACCACATCTCTAGAGCTGAAGAACACCCTCTAACTGACGAGGTGCCATGAGGACACCCCAGTAATGACTCCGGTCCTCAGTGGATCTAGCAGGTGGTGGGGGTGCTGCCCTTGTTCCACAGGCCTATGGATATAGAGCCTAGAATGCTCAGGGACACTAAAGAAGGGCTCCTGCCCAAAATGTGGGCTCACAGGTAGAACTGGCAGGAGCTTCTGTGGAGGAGGTCAGGGTAGAGGTAGAGGCACAAGGGAAGGGCCTGACCTGGAGGCATTTTGGAAGGTGACTGGCCTAGGAGATGGGTGGGAAAATCAAAAGGATTTGAGATGAGCCAAGGCTTCTGGCTGAAAAGTGAACTGGTGGCCCCAGCAGTCAAATGCAGCAAGTGGCAGGATTCAGTGGGAGAGACCTCAGAACTGAGGATATGTAAAAGAAGAAGAGGAAGGCCTAATTAGTCTGGGGAGTGCAGCATTGACCTAGGACCGAGGAAGGGTCCCAGGACACCACCCATAGGCACCAAGAAGGCATTATTGGCAGGCCAGAAGGACATTCCCAGGTGCAGGAAGGAGGTGGTGGATACCTTAGTCTTAGACCCAAGGGTGAGAGCTGACAGTGGATGCACTGCACAGAAGGGCACTACAGCCTCAGACAGGGTTCTTGCCAACTGTAGAAAGGAAGTAGACTCAGCAGACCTGGGCAGCCACAGCTTCAGATGCAGCTTCCTTCCACCCGCTAAGTGGCCCTTCTTCCAGAACCCAATACCAGAGGTGGGCTAGTGACTAGGCTGTGTGACCTGACCCAGAGGCCCTGTTCACCTCTCAGTGACATGAGACAATCTGGAATCACATAAGACTAGCTTTCCAGCAAGAAAAAAGTTGGTCCCAGTGGAGAAAGACCATGGGGGGCCTGGCTCTACCTCCCTATGCTTCTTGGAATTGGCTTTATTTCCTCTATATGGTCCTCTTCTGAGAAGCCTAGGAGAGGGAGAGGAAGGAAGAGGCAGGCCTCACACACACTGCCTGGCCCCCATGTACCCTCAGAAATGAACTCTGCTCCCTGGGACTCATCCTTCTCTGAGAAAAGTCCAACACTGCCCACACCAAAGGAGTTCTTCATTTTACAGGTCACGTGGATGGGACACTCGGAAAAGGGCTGTTCACAGTTCTGACACCAATGCCCTGGTCGGCTCCTTTTTACCAGTTTGGTCCTGGCCTCAGAAACTCAAGCTACAGACACCACTTCCAGCACAGGACAGGTATTGGCTCGCTCTCTTCACACAAAGCACCAAGGGACTAAGCCCTGTCTGGAGAGCAGCTACATTCCGCAGGTCAGTGGGAGGCTCACAAAACTAAGAAAACTTGAGTTACTCCAAAACCATCTGCAAGAGGCTGAAACAACCCCGCCCCCTTCTCCTCAGAGCTCCCACATTGGTACAGGCCACCCTGTTCCACAGAGGTGAGAAGACCAGCTCTCTCATGACAGGTTCTGCTGGAGGCAGGGTACTAGCTGTCCAGAAGGTGAAAGGCTTCCATAGAAGGACTGGACCCCAGACGTTCTGCCAAGCCCCGCTCTTTGGGAGAAGCTGCCTAGAGAAGCAGCACCTGTCACAGCACCCTGCAGGAGGGCACCAGCACCATCTGCTTGCTCAGCCCCTGCACCCACCTCCTCAGGCTCCTCCTCCCGCAGGCGGCTGGGTTTGGTGTAGTCCAGGGGTCGGTCCCACTCATCCTGGCGGGAGGCCTGGCTGGATTGGGGTGAGGTCATGGAACTGCTAGGGGCACTAGTGCTGCTCTGGCGCTGGGAGACATCAGGAGACTTGACCCCAGGACTGCTGCTGCAGCTGCTGCTGCTGGGGAGGGCATTTTCCCGTTTGCGGTGTTTGTGCATGCTCAAATCCAGGGTTCCATTTTCATCTACCGCGATGTCCACAGACTGCAATTGCAAAGTAACAAAAGCATTAGAGAATCTACCTGTTTCCCCTGTTGGTATGTTTTCATCAAATTTACAAGAAATGTAGAACACAGATTTCATGGAAGGAATCTAACAGAGGGGAGAGGTGCTAAAAAGGAAGACCAATGCCACTTCCTAACTGCCCCAGGAGGGATCCCAATGTCCCTTTGCCACTAGCATCACAGGGCCAGTACCTTGAGACATGTGCAAGCTTGGGTAAGACTAAGTGCTCTGAGCCAGAACACATCAGTCATGACCAGATTCAGTAGGAAGCAGTAACATGGTGTGTACCTGGCCCTCAGACTCACTGGGAAATGCATGGGCACACAGCATGGTTCTTGGTCCCTGTCCACAAAGCAGCACTTTCTGGGAGGACCTATCCACCTTCTCTGGTCATCGGTGCCAGGAGGGAGAAAAGGGAAGAATGGACATTCTCAGTTGGATCCTAGCTGTTCCTGGCAACACCATATCCAGTACACTGTCAGGCCTGGCTGCAGGCTCTACACACTCACCCCTCTTCAGAGGGCTTGGGGGAACTCACCTTGCTGGGGAGGTCCTGTGGCTTTGTGCTGAGGTTCTCGGGCATCTCCCAGCAGCGGGTTGAGAGGTTCAGGATGGCGGTGGCAGCCATATGTGCAGCCTCGGCATCATGTGAATAGTCGAAGCCTGCAGAAGAGGGTGAATTGGGGCCGGGGAGATGGCTCAGTGGAATAAGCGCTTCCTGGCATGCGCAAGGGCCTGAGTTCAAACCCCAGTTCCAAAACAAACAAACAAACAGAAGAGGGTGAATTGCTCCTCAAGACTAGTGGGTGGGGCTGGCCCTGGGGGAGGATGCCTTTGGGGAAGGTTTGGCTGCAAGAAGGGAACAACTTCAGGCTGACAAAGACTTAGACAGAGGCAGCAGATGGTAGGGGAGTACAGAGAGTGGGGGCACACCTATGGCCCAGTGGACTGTGGGCCAGGCTGGGTGCCCACTCACACATCTCCATATACCCTCTCTCACCAGTCTCCCGGCCAAGTACAGAGGAGACAGTTACATTTCTGGCCAAAATTTGGACAGAAAGATCAAAACTCTCTAAAGACATTCTAGTAGTCCTGATATGTCAAGCAATAATTTGTTCATGAGCAAATGCTTGTTGAGAGACTAATGAATCCCATAAATAGGATGAGTGCTTATAATATCACTCACATGGAAAATTTTGTCACTGCATCTGAAAGTGCTACCATATCTCAGCTGATCTTTCAGCCACAATAATAGTGACCTCAACAAAGCAGACTTAACATCCAGGCAAACACCACAAATGTCATCTTTTCTAGTGGTCATGCTATGGCTGTAAAACCACTCTTAAATGATTTGGGGGCAGGGGGTACTGAGAACCAAACTCAGGACCTTGCTTTGCCAGGCAGGTGCTGTGCTGCTGAGCTATATCCCTGGCCCCTTCACATGACATTTGGAGAGACTATGAAACCATCAGTGTTCCCAGAAAGAACTACACATATATGGAAGTGAGTCACCTCCCTCTTGACACCATTGCACATCCTCATCCAGACAGTTGTGTATGCCTGGAGACACCCAGGCCTCAGGCTAAGCAATCAGGGTCCTAGGGTAGAAAGATCAGCCCTGTGAGGCTGGTGACACCCACTGGGAGGTGCCAGTCCCAATCCTCTGTATGCACTCTGGGTTGTTCCATCCCACTTGCATTTCTAAGACTAATGGCTTTGCAATCCACAAATCTGTGAGATAACTGACAAGCCAGAAAAGACTGTTCCAGATTTGCTGAAGTAATTCTTACCAGTACAATTACTCAGGAAATGTGTTACTAATGTTACAAATATCATTTCCAGTTAGATGGTCCTAGTGCAGAAAAGCAAAAGGCTTCTTGACAGGGCACCACGCTACCCAGTCTGACCCTCCCTGATGTCAGTGTGAGGAAAGATGACCACTGCACTGGGAAAGGGGACTGTCAGGGTCAACCCAATCAGTATGGTTATTCTTAAGTTTCCAGACAAACACACCCATGAAGGACCTGGAATTCACTTCATAAACAAATAGGAGACATGCAAGGGCTCAAGATGAAACATAAGCCCCAGAGAGGCCACAGTTGCACCCACTGAGGCCTCAGGCTTGCACACCACTTCTCCCAGCTCCTCAGAGGCAGAATGAAAGGAGAGGAAAGAATGATTCTCCCCAACTTACATTGGAAGGCTTTGGGTGAGGTTTCGCTGGTCTGAATCTTTGGGGCAAGCATACGTTTGCCAAAAACCTGAGCATCAAAACTTGCGTAGTCGAAGGTAACCTTGGAGAATTTCTCTAGTTCCTTGGCCAAGTTGGCCCTGGGTGTGGCAGGAGCCACACTGGGCCGGTAGTTCCCATAAGGAGGGACCTCAAGCTGCTTCACGAAGCACATGGGCCTGGGGTGTGGACAGAGATGCAATCTGTGAGGAGGAGACTCAGACTCCATGATATCCTCCCCCAATTCCATCCAAAATCCCCATGAGGGACCTCACCCAGAGGAATATCACCATACTCTGCCCCGCAGGACTTCTACCTCCCAGGGGTCAGAATTCTACTTCTCAGGGTGAAAGACCCCTGAGGTAGGCCTGTAACTGATGTGAGGAAAAACTGCCAGCAAGGAAGAAGCAATAGGAAACTGGAGGAAACAACAGCATGTCTCCAGGCTGGTGGCATTAACCAGAGAAGCAGGGGCCTGAGATTGCCCCAACTCAGAAGATAGGAAAGTAGATTTCCAACAGTTCTGATGCAATGAACAAGCCCATGACAGGGAGCCCAACAATAAAGCACCCTGACACAACAGCTAGCCATAGCAAGGCAGGATTCTCAAGACTGAATAGCCTACTGCTCCGGTAAGGACAGAGTGAGGGTGTGGAGTGGACATGAGGTGATGGCAAGGAATACCCTCAAGGTCAGGCTCAATACAGCACTTCCCTCAGCCCAGGACTTGGCCCTCAGTACAGCTGAGTGGAGGTAGTACCTTCCCTCCAAAGACTGCAATAAGCATGAAAAGACCACTTCAAGCATTCAGTTTATGAAAGTCTTGGAAGAGTTCAGGGAGAACTCTTGGGAAATAGTGGCAGTGGCACAGGAGGCAGAAAGGAAGGGAAACCATGGGGGCTGAGACTACATAGGATACATGGGGACTTTTGGACTCATGTGAATGTACACACACAAAGAAGCACACCAACACACACTTGTCTGCACACTCAAAGAACGGGCAAGAGAGGAGGGAGCCCCTGTAAGCAATGTCCTCAGTGGTTGGTGGAATTTATGGGCTGGTGAGGACCTTTGACCACTGGGCACTATAAGAGCTTCAGTGTGGTCTAAGAAGAGAAGTACAAGGCTGTACCAGGATTGTTCTGAAGGCTAGGAGATGGATGTGTACTGGTCCATGAAAAGTGAAAACCTAGGCTAGAACCAGCCCAACAAGACAAGAAGAAAAGCTATAGGAGGGAGTCTATCAATGCCAGCAGAGAGACATTGACCTTGATGTCAGTGCTACTTTGTGATGGTCTCTCAGTCAGGTATCAACAACTTAGAGTGAGGCAGAGAAAGGATTAAATCTTTAAGCAATGGGAATCTGGGAAAAGGAACAAAAATGTTGGAGGAAAGAGATTGCTTTAAACCAACTAAGAGCCATTTACAGTGGGATTATGTCAAGTGGGACCTGCAGAGTTGGAGGCTCTTATGGAGGGGATATGAGCATGCCACAGAATAGGGTAGTGAGTCACCAGCCAGGGATATGTGTACAGTGTTTCTGAGAGAACCTCTGGAACAAGCCAGAGAAGGCCCAGGGGGCATGGAGCAGACAAGGCAGGTTGTTAGGATTCTCTGGCCTAGGGCTTTGAAGATCTGTGGGAGGAGGTGACAGAGGGCAGTGGCTGTGGGCCTGCCAGAAAGCAGCTGGGCTGGGCTATGCCATCTCCTACACTACCATAGGACAGGATCTAAGAACCAGGGAGAGGGAGAGATGAGTGAGTTCTGGTTCTTCAAAGATGAAGAGAGCAGGATGTCCTCTGAGTGAGGTGAGAGGCTAGGACAAGGAACAGGTGGAAGTATCCTAGTTCATGGTTCCTCGTAGTTCCTCACAGTTCAGGGACTTACACCCTCTCCCCACCTCACAGAAGACTGGGTAGAAAAGAAGACTCTAAAGACAGGCCATTTCAGGGGGGTCATCTTGGGCACATCCCTGAGCTTCCGCCCCTGTTGGTGACATTTACTTTCCAGGATCATCTGTGGTAAAGAGGCACTGAGAAGATGTGTTCTGAGGACTCTTAGAGGGCTCTTCACTGAGGACAGATTGTCTACACAAGCACATATACATACTTGCACATATGTGTAAGCACACTCATATACTCACACACAATCAGGCACACCAACGTGCATCTGCCTGCACACACACAGGCCTGTTGCTGACAGGCCCCCTCTGGGAGCAGGACTCATAGCTCCCCTTCCCTGACTCAGGATCTATCTTGAGTTGGGCAGACAAAGGCGTAACACCCAAGGCTTTGTGGTCATGCTGCTTCCTGGATGGCTTTGGCCTTGCTGGTGTGGTCTTCTCTCTCTCTAGACAGGACCAGTGTCTCCACAATGGGTTCCTGAGCAGTCACAATGACCGTAGTAGATTCCCTGGGGAAGAACAAGGCTGAGCTGCCTGTGGCTAAGCCCGCGAGCCTCAAAGCTGCTTACACCTTGGCTGAGGCTCTGGTGAACACAACAGGTGTGAGACTGTTCATTATTCTATCAAGTATTCACATCGCTTACAGCCCAAGAGAGATTGACAACCCTGCAAGCCCTTAGAAGTGATCCCTTCAATTCAGTGGCTCATTCACCCACCTGAGGATCCGATCTGAATTGGAGCTATTCTTGGAAGGATCTCCCGTCTGTGGCTGCTGTTTCTCATGAGATTTGGCTAATTTTTCAGCGGCAGCAATGGGACATCCAGACAAACTAGTGGAAGGAAAAAGTGAGACATCTGAGCCTTCTCACTAATGCCAGGCCTGTCCCAAGTGTTTGGCTGTGTGGTCTTACAGCAGCATCATTCAGACATGAAAGCTCCCAGCGTGTGAGGCACAGAAAGAAGACTCCAGACATTTCTACAGGACAAGGTCTTCTCCCAAGCTCTGTACTCAGATTTTTTTTTTAAATGTATTCAATAAAGGATCTACAGGGTCTCACTACACAGATCAGACTCGTAGTGATCCTCCTGCTTTTAGCCTCCCAAGCACTGGGATTACAGGCACGCGGCACCAAGCCCAGTCTCAGTTGTCATCTCAGTGTGCCCCGGGGGCAGGGCTGTTACAACACACTGGAGATCGTGCCCTGGTCCTTGCACCTGCCTAAGCAGGCACTTTAATCTGCTGAGCTATCTGGCTGGGCCTGTCCTCAGCTTTCAAAGTGCAAGGTGCTCAGTTTCCGTTCTTGGATATTCTAAGCCAGTGACCCTCAGTGTTGAACTACATCCTGTAGGAAGGCAAAGCCTGGCCAAAGATGCCTCCTCTACGTGTGTCTGGGTACCAGGATCACCCCTCATCTCCTTCCTTTCTCCTTCCTAGGTCTCATGAAGGATTCTAGAGCTTCATCTGTCAGAACTGAGTCAACTACAAGCCCAGACACCTGCTCCTAGGCCACCGAAGGTGATACAGTCATGCCACTCAGGACCTTGGCATCTTTTCTAACAATGTGAACTCAAAAGCTCTGGCATTATTTCCAGCGGAGTGTGCTCCTGATGGCACCCCATACAGCATGGCTAACCATGGCTGGGTAGGACTGGGGATGTGGTTCTTCTTATCAAGGAAGACAAACTGACAACTGAATGTGGACAGTGGCCTGGAACTCTGTCTGCCTGGTCTCAGTATACCCTCTGAGTAGCCCTGAGTAAGGCCCTGGCCACTGAGGTCGCTGTTGTTATCCATACTTTTCCCTTCACCAATGGGCAGAAGTTTTTTGAAAATAAGCAGTATCCAAAGCTTTTACCTTGTTCTTTACATGGGTGGAGACCTCATAGAAGAAGTTCACCAAAACTAACAGGGTCTCCAGCAGCAGTACCACCAGGTACCCACACCTCAAGGTGCCCTCTACCCACATGAAGGGCCCTTGGTCACCATCAGCCCTGACTTTGTGCCCACCATGCAGGGTGGCATCAGGAGGCAGGTATTATTTGGGGCTTACAAGTTAAGCCAGAGCCCTCCCAGATAAGAGCTAAAGACTCCAGACCCTTGTAGTCCAGACACATACTGTGGGCCCTGCTCCCCCAAGTACCTTCTATGTGTGTTACGGTTGCTGTTCACATGGCCCTGACCTGTGCAGCCAGGAGTGGGGCACTTCAGCACATTCTCATGCATGGCCAAGACTATAAGAGAACAAGAGAGGTTAGACAGTGAGAGCTCACATGCCTAAATGGGTAGCAAGAAGCAGCCTAAGGAGGACTCAGAAGCCCAGCCAAATGTTATGGCTTTGTAGGCAGAGAAGCAGCTAACTCAGGGTAGCACCACCCTCAAAGCTGCAACACAGCATCATCCTCTGCCAGTCAGGTATGGCCCCTCTCTGTGCGGCACCTGCCTCCCAAGCCAAGAACTATATGCCACTTTAAAACTTCTCACTTTTCCCTTTTATTTTTGATAGTTTCTGCTTTTGGACTAAGGGTAGAGACAAAGGTCTACTTCCTGAGCTTTTAGAGCACAGAAGCCTCTGTGTAAAGACATCCAGTTCCCAAGGCACAGCCCATTTCCTCCAGCCCATTCCAGTGGCTCTGACCCAGGCTGGCGTCTCCATTTGGCCAACTGGTCAGGTTGTATACCCAGCCTCATCAGGCTCAAGCTTAGGCTTAGGCTGTTTGGAGGGAAGACAGAGATTTGGGAAACGCAAAGGGACAGGGCTCTAGGCAAGCTGCCCCCACCAGACCAAGGGCAACTCCAAATACCACGCACACCCAAACATCATGGGTAAACTAACCCTGCATGTAGCTACTCACTCTCTGGAGGAATCCTGTCCTTGTGGGGACAGCCAGACAGGCTGCGGTGGTGAGGGTACAACCCAGTCACGTGGCCAGTGCCATCACAGCCAGGGGTCGGACACTTGATCTCACGCTTCTCAGCTCTGGAAGGATCTAGAAAATACAAGACATATCACATAGAACCAGGAGGCCAGGCTGTGGGTAAGGACAGGAAGAGGTGGGAAGATCTCATACTCCCTTTCCAGCTATCCAGAGGAAAGACAAGTGAGACTTCTTAGGATGCCAAGAGGGAGCTGGTCAGGGAGACAACACAAAAGAAGCTGGTCCAAAACCCAGAGGCTGTTCCTCCCACCTCAGATAGCAGGATTGGCCAGCCTTCTGCACAGAAAGGGGAAGATGGTAACATCTCTGCCAGAAGATATCATGAGGAGTTGACAAAAAATGAGGTAGACAAGGGCCAGCCAAATAGCTCAGCAGAGATCTGGGGAGATAGCTCAGTAGAGTAAATGCTTGCCTGGCAAGCACAAGGGCCTGAGTTCAATCCCTGGTTCCACAAAAAAGAAAAGAAAAAAAAAAGCTCAGCGGATTAAAGCGCCTGCAAGTAGGCACAGGGGCCAAGGTTTTGATCCCTGGGCCTGCTGCGCCGGCCCTTCCCCCAGGGCCCGCTGAGAGGGCGATTGAGACTGGGCCTGGTGGCACACACCTGTAATCTCAGCTTTTGGGAGGCTGTAAACAGGTGGGTTACTATGAATCCGATCTAGTAGTGAGACCCTGAACACCCTGTAGGCCCTTTCCTAAAAAAAAAAAAAAAAAAAAAAAAAAAAAAAGAGGTGGACAAAGGTTAGGTACCTATCCAAGAAGGTATAATTAATTAAGGTCTCAGCAAAAAGTTCACTTTAGATCTCAGTCACGGATCTCTGCTGGCCTCTTCGGGCCCAGGTATGTATGTCACTGTCGAGTGTAGAAACCAGAAAGATAAGGAAGGTCCCCAGAGCACAGCTGGAATCTTGAGAAATGTCTGGGTGAGCACAGAAACACCAAAGAGGGGCAGGCCCAGCTGAGAGCTCCAGGGAAGACTCCCGAACACCCAGGCACCACGTGGGCAGAGGTGTGCTAAAGGGCTCTCAAATCTGTGCCTGCACCTGCCACTGCCCCAGACTCACCGGATCTGCCCCAGCATCGGTCCCACTCTCTAGCCACCACAGCGGATGCTTGCATTCCCCACGACCTGACAGTGCTGCCTGCTACGCTCAGCAGCCCACATCCTGCTGAGTCTGGGACCCCAAAATCTAGCCTTGAATGCAGGATACTTTGTTCCTAGCCCCTCATCATCAGTCAACAGTCCCTCAAACATCTGGGCCTTGGCCTGTTGCTCAGTATCTGTGTTCACAGTCAGGGTCCCACAAAAGTCTATGCTGAAAGCCCAGGCCCCCACATCTGTCCCTACATCGGACTCATCCTGGTGCTCATAGCCCTCAGGCCCAAGCCTGGCAGAACTGGCCTATATCAGGACCCCTAAACAGCCACCCTATCTGTGTTACCCAAAGGGGTATCCATTTAAGAGTTGTGCTCCAGATTCACCCTCCATGGGGACCACATCCCAATCATGTCCTGTCAGTACCCATGTTCCCAGAATGTGTGTTACCATGTGTCCTCCTCCTGGTCATGGCACCTGAGGCTATTCCTCACTCCCATCTGCTTCCCCATGACCCAGGTACGTGTCTGCCCTAATGTATGTCTCCTGCCCTTTTGGTCTTTTTTTTTTTTTTTTTTTTTTTTTTTATGAAGCATATCAATCACACTAACTTATTTTAGCAAATAGCTTCTTTTTAAAAAATTTATTTATTTTATTTATTTATTTATTTTTGTGTGTGTGGCCAGTTCAGCCCACCTGGGGGCGGGGCTGGCTGGCATGTGGTGCTGGGGGATTGAACTGTGGTCCCTGTGCTTTGCTAAGCTTGTTCCAAGTAAGTGCTTTAGATCTCTGAGCCATCTCACCAGCCCACCCTTTTGGTCTTAACTTCAGCCTCTAAGTCACCCTTAGCCCTTCTTTCCCTCATTTGCCCCTTCTTGGGTGCCAGATAACCCTTCACTATGGGAGCAGGACAGGAAGGGTGCAGTGACTCCTGCTGCCCATGGAGCAGTCTGTAAAAGGGTACAAAGAAGAGACCCTGGCCTAGGCTAGAGAAAGAAGAGACAGGTTAGAGAAGCTCCCTGGTCTTGGAAGAATAGAGGCTTCAGGCCCAGGAAGTAGAGAAGTCAGAGCTGCTCTGAGGCCTGGCCCCCAGCACCATGAGGCTCCTACTCAAGGGGAGTCCAGGCCTTGCACTTGGACAAAGAGGTGCTTAGGACAGGCAGAGAGAAGAACACAAATAGCACGTCCTCTAGATCCCAATGCCTATGGTAGCTATGACCATTTGCTCAAGGCCTGCCTTAGACCTGACCTCCAGTCTCCAGCCCTAGCCCATATCAGCCCAGACTCAGACATAAAACCCTGTTAGCAGCCCACTTGACTCCTCTCACCTTGACATCAGCTTCTCAGGGAGGCCTGTGGATAATGCCCCTAGGCTCTGCACACCTTAGAACCAAATCTAGACACAAGCTCCATCCACATTAGCAAGGCACAGATAGATATGCCTTGTGTCTGTCTAAGGACTCCAACCAGAAAACAGCTTTCCAGGGCCAAACACCATAGTGCCAGGTTTGCTATCACACAACCCTTTGAGTTTCCTAAACCTGTGGATTTAGACCCAAATTATAGTGCCAGAATGAGTGGCACAATGAGAAGGTCACCACCAACGCTCTCACTGTTCTCTTTCCCACCCTACACACTACAGCTCCATATTCTTTTCCATCCATCCACCCCATGTGAACTAGCATAAGCTCATTTCCTTGATCTTTGACCACAGTTATGTATGTACTCATCCCCCATCTACTTTTACATCCTTCTCCACCCACCCCCGCAGGTAAGGACTTACATTTCCACACCTGAGCAAGACTGCATGTCCCTTTATGGTAGGACAAGGGGGTTGATGTGTGATGTGTGGGCAGGCTACTCCCAGCCTACCTTTGCTGTAGCAGCTTTTCCGCGTTGTGTCCAGGGGCTTTGCCACCTTCCCTGGCTCACCTGGGCCTGGCTGGCCCTGCTCGGCAGGTGGGCAGCCTGGTTCACAGACAGTGCGAACCTGCTCAGCCTTCAGGGCAATGGCCTGCTCTAGGAGGCCCAGGTTCCCTCGGGTCATCATGTCATACATTTCCGATTCATCTGTAACTGTTGACTTCTGGGAGCGCATGTCCTCATCCTTGTCATCATCAGAACGGACTTCCACAATGACAGAATACTCAGGCTTGGGACTGGATAATTCTGGGTGTCCCGGCTCAGGGGCCTTCTGGACAGAAGTGTGGGAGGCATCCTCTTCAAAGAGAACATTGGGAGCTGCCTCCTCCTCCCCCTCCTCCTCTTCTTCCTCCTCTTCCTCTTCTTCTTCCTCTTCCTCTTCCTCCTCTTCCTCTACCTCCTCTTCCTCATCTTCTTCTTCTTCCTCTTCTTCTTCCTCTTCCTCTTCCTCCTCCTCCTCATGACCCAGGACACCTTTATGCCTGCTGGAGCCCTCCCTGGCCACATCCTCCATGGACTGGGAACATTGCTCCTGGGAATGTTCACTGGTGACCTCAATGACCTCTTCTGCATCCTCTGGCTGGATAAAAAGGTCCTTCTCACCCTCATCACTGGTGGCCCCCTCTGCTGTCTCCTCCTGAAGCAGGTGCACAATGCTGGGGCCCAGCTTGGCTACCTGGCCCGAGTCCTCCCCAACCAAGGTCTCTTCAGCAATTTGGCCCAAGTTTAAGAGAGAAGTTGCAATAATTCCCTGGTAGTTGCTGTAGCTGCCCTTGGATGAGGGGTTGCTGATGGGGTTGGATCCAAAGTGAGACTTAATGGGGCTCCTTCCTGCACAAAATCAGAAAATACCACATGAAGCTAGAGGACAGCCTGGCAGATATCTCCAGGTCTTTTCTCTACCCACTGTCCCACTTTTAACACCACAGCCCAAGAGACTTGAAAATCCAGAAGCAGTGATGTGGGGCTGTTCCTGTCAACTTTCTATCCAAATCCAGAGAGCTTATTTGGAGAGCTTATTTAAGAGGTAGCTCATGGACTGCTGCCACCTATCTTTTTCTTTTTCAGTATTGGGGATTAAATCCAAGGCCTTCACACTGAGCTACATCTTCATCTCTTTTTATTTTTTATTTGGAGTAAGGATCTTGCAGAGTCACTAATTGCCTAGGCTAGGCACAACTTGTGATTTTCCTGCTTTATTCCCCCAGAGCACTGGGATTGTAGGCTTTTTTTTTTTTTTTTTTTTTAACTGGGGATTGAACTCAGGCCCTTGCACTTGCCAGGGAAGTGCTTATTCCACTGAGCCATGAGCCATCTCCCTGGCCCCAGATTGTAAACTTATACTAGGCCCACTGCTGCATTTTTAACACTGAAAATTACTTGGAATTTTTAAAAATTACTTTGTTTCTGTATTACACACCTCAAATCAGATAACTTGCATTTATATGCTAGAGTTTAAAGCACAAATAAGGGTTTTAAAATTTATTTCATAATTGAAAAGCATTTATATATTTTAGGTAATCAAATTTAAATCTTTTAACTACAATAAGTAAGGTGTGTTACCTATACCCAGGCCCTGTGGGGATAGTGGGCCAGCACTCCCAGCAACACCAAGAGCCAATAAATCCCCAGACCTCAGAGCCATATGGTGCTGTCCCAAGGAGCACACAGGTTGGGATCTTTTCCAACTGGAACACAGGGGCAGCTTAGTTCCATGAGCTATGGACTCACTCAAGTTCCAGAGAGAGGGGAGTACAAGGGCTCAGCTTGGGTTGCTTTCAGGCAGGTGCTTATGCTGCTGGGCTATCTTCCTGCCCCACACTTGGGCTGCTTCTGAAACAAACCACATCCACATCTCAACCCTTCTAAGTTAGCTGACTCTAAAAGCTTTGGGAACAGGTGTAGGACCTGAGCCTCATGCTGACCCCTAGGAACCTACGAGGTCTGCTAAGTCTCTTAGGGATGACACAGAACCCTCCCTGGGGCTCAGGGCACCTGCATTTGCCAAGGGCCAAGTCTTCAGCAAGAGACTCACCCCTGCCCCTCTTGGCTTCTCTGGGGACCCACTTTGTGGTCCTCCAACACCCAAGGTACTTCCTCAGCACCTGCCTGAGTGTCTCAGGGCCAGACACCATCCCCAAACCCTGCAGTGCTTCCAGGGGGCCAGGGAGACAGGGCTCCATCTCAGACCCCCACAGACGCAGACTTCCCCACATCTACCTGTCTTCTCACATATGCACAGACACACTGTGCAATTGCCACACTTTGTATGTGCACACAGCAGTCAGCCTCAAGTCCACATCTGCCTTCTGCCTCTCCCATGGTACAGTGCCCACACACGCCACTGACCATGCAGCCTGTGCAGGCCGCTCTTCCTGGAAACAGCACACACAGGGACAAGACATGCCTTGTTCTCCAGAAGGCTTCCCCTTGCTTAGCATGCACTCCCCCCCACACAGACAGACACACACACACACACACACACACACACACACACACACAGAGGCTGCAATTTTCCAGGGCCACACTGAAGCGCCCTTTATGTTAAGGAGAAAGAACAACAAAGCACCTTCAGCTGGCTCCGGGCGATGAATCTCCTCCTGTCCTGACATCTCAGCCTCGGCCTCATCCAGAGTTCCTTCCGATTCATCCGAAACAGAGGCATCCTTCACCTCACCATCCTCACTGCCATCACTGTCCACACCATAGCCCTCATCCAGAGCCAACTTCAGGGGGTGCGACTTCCTCTTGGACAGCAGGTGCTCAGCCTCAGAACCCTCCATCTTCCTCTTCTTGGCCAGAGGGCAGCTCTGTAAACTGGGAGGGAGGGAGAACAGGCCATGGAGAGAGCAGGGCCAGGACACGGGAGGCCTCAGACACCAGGGAGCATTTCCCAAGGTCCTTTTCTCCTCTGTAGCTAGTGTGTTTAAAATTTTACATCTAATTATATACATTTAAAAGTTATTGATTGTGCTTTAAATCACCTCACAGTGGGCCAAGCCCACACCTGGAGAGAAGACTCTTGACCTCTCCAAACTGCCCTGTCAAACCCAGCCAGTCATACCCTGCCCTATCAAACCACATGTATCTCCATCAGATTTTGGCCCCCTTCCTCCCACCTGGGGTCTTTTCTTCCCTCTTCATACTTCCCCCCACCCCACAAACCTGGTACCACGAGGCAAATGAACACCTAAGATCAAGCTGACCCTACAGGATGACCACATTGACAAGACGAGCAGCAGCTCGCTGGCCCCAACATGGCGCCAGGCCTGCAACTGGAACTGCCATGTGGACACATCTAGTCCTTAAGCCAACTTCAGTGAGAAAAACTAAGGTGTCCAGGACAGTCTGTCTAGCTGTTCCTTCATGGCACAATCCTAGCCTGGCTCACCCAGGGCTAGCACCTTAGGGACATAGACTTGCGGGAATACATTGAAGGGTCAGCCTGGCCTCATCAGCCAAAGACAAAAATGGAAAGTTTTTAATCTACAAAAGGGCCCAAAACAGTGGAGGGGATGCTGAACTCCCTTCCCAGAAACCAAGAAGCCTCTTACCTTCGGTGCCTGGAGTATTTGCCCCGGACATGTCCTGAGCCTGTGCATCCTGGGGTGGGACAACTGAGAAGACAAACAGAAGAAGTCACTTTGGGCAACAGGATTTGGAGCTTGGGACTCACCTTAACCCTTACCCTGGGGAGTAGGAGATGGTCTCCAAATAGTTCAGCATAGCACAGCTGCTGGTAGTTTGTTTAAAAATTAGAAAATAGCTTGCTGTACTTAAATAAATCAATGGCTCAACAGAGCTCTCGGTATTTAATCTATGTGTACAGGAGCAAGGCTTCTATGCCAGCACATGCTGTACCATCTCATTTTCCCAAAGCAAGTACATCTCCCCTTCCACTAGGCTTCTAGGTCTTTGAAGACAAGACATCCTGAGGTTCCCCCAGAGCACAGCAACCTCTTTAGAGCTGTTCATTGTTCATCCAGCTAAGTCTGTAGCCCCAAAGTTAGACTTCTCCATGCCCATCACTGATACTATAATATCAGTGGCCATTTAGAGCAGAAGACTACAGTACCTACCAGACAGGCTGACCTGGGGTTGCCAGGCAAGAAAGGCTCTGTGTAGCCCAAACCAGAAGCTCCAGCTGTCAGTGGACACTCTGCTTCAGGACCTGCATCCAGTGTGGGTCCCAGCTTCCATGGGGAAGGGACCCCAGGAGGGCAGTGACTAAAAACCCAGCTGCCTGATAGAGGAGCTGGCCAGGCTAAGGGCAGCTCCCAACCCAAGGTTGTCAAGAATAAAGGGGACAGTGGCAAGACTCCCTAGGAGCTCTTGCACTCAACTGCTACCTGTCTCCCAGTGTGACCAAATTAATGGGAAGCTCTGCGAACTTCCAATCTTGAACAATGACTGTGCCTTCCAACCATGGCATCAAGACCACCGTGCTCACAAGAGCCCTCCAGTAAGAGCAGCTACAGAGAGGCCTGTGTGGCGCATGAAGCCACACTATCTCAGGTTTCTGTGGACTGAGACACACCCATACGTCAAGGGCTACAAGAAACTGCTACAACCCCACATCACTACACCCCAGCCAGACATGGAAGCTGCACAAGTCCTCCTGGGAGGCTCCAGGCCTCCCTGGCCAGGGTAAAAGACCTGTTTTAAACAGGATTGCTGCCATGGATCTGAGCTCTTGCATGGGAGCACATTTCCTTTAAGATACATCATATCACATAGCAAAAAGCACAGCACATCTCTGAGCATGTGAAGGCAGGCAAGTGTGGGAAGTTCCTGGGGCCCAAGAAAGGACATCACCCTTATCTGTATCTAAACACCCCAGATTTTTTTTTTTTTTGTATTTTAGTAAGGGTCTACAGAGCCTAGAGGGTCTCACTACATAGATCAGACATGATCCACTTGTGTTCAGCCTCCCAAGGGCTGGGATTACAGACACACCACCACACCCAGCCTCAATCGCCATCTCAGCATGCCCTGGGGGTGGGGCCAGCATGGCATGCCAGGGATTGAACCCCAGCAGCTGCATCTGTCTAAGCAGGCTCTTCAATCCACTGAGCTATTTGGCCAGCCCATCCCAGATAGTTTCTGTTGCCATTGCTCATGGCCTGACTGCAGACAACTGTGGAACCCAATTGACCATGAAGGTCACATTCACTGACCATGTTGGAAATATCCAGAATTATTTGTGAGCCAACTCTCACCCTCACAAGTTCAGCAGCAATTATAAGGGATAGGGGCTCTGATTGGGTGCTCTCTCTCTACAGGACACTATGTCTGCTTCTAGTCCTGATTTTTACTGAGCTAAAAGGGAAGAAAGAGCCAGTCAGGGTAACACAGACCTACAATCCCAGCTACCATACTTGGGAGGCTGAGGCACAAGTATTGTAAATTGGAGGCCAGCCTAAGCAATTTAGCAAAATCTTTCTTAAATTAAAATGTGAAAACTGGGCTGGCCAAATAGCTCCGTGGATTAAAGCACCTGCAAGCAGGCGCAGGGGTGTGCTGAGATGGCAATTGAGACTGAGCATGGTGGCACGTGCCTATAATCCCAGCTCTTGGGAGACCTGATCACTAGGAGTGATATATACAAGCAGATCACTATGAGTCTGATCTAGTAGTAAAACCCTGAACATCCTGTAGACCCTTCCCTAAAAATAAAAATAAAAAAAATATTAAAAATTTTAAAAAAGTGAAAAGAGGCTGAAGATATATATAGTTTAGTGTTGGAGTATCCCTGGGTTTGATTCCTTGGGGCCACAGGGGAAAAAAAGGAAGAAGAGGAGGGGGAGAGAAGAGATGGAAGAGGGAAGACAGAGAAAGAAAGAGAGAAAGGAGGGAGGGAAGGAAGGAAGGAAGGGAGGGAGGAAGGGAGGGAGGAAGGGAAGGAGGGCAGCAGACAGGAAGAGAGGAAGAAAGGTAGGGGGAAAGATTTTACTGTGATTCCTTTCCAGACAGAGGAATCGCTGCTGCCCTTATCCAATGTACTGTAAAACCCAGGCCCACACTTGCTTTTGCTCTCTCAAGAATTAGCTTTGGGACTTTTCACAAAAAAAGCTCCTTGTTATTAAGGATTTGAACTGAGGTCCCAATCAGTCAGTTAATCACTGAGTTAATCAAGCAATTAGATGACAACTGCCATGGAGGTCTGTGGGGTACTGGCACTGCCCCCAAAACACATCACCTGCTCCAAGCAACTCTTCCAGTCCAGCTCAATGTCTTGGTCCCCAGCCAGGTGAGCCAGCAACCTTACCACACAGCTTCCAGGGTTGAGAGACCTAGCTGTGAGCCCAAGTGGATGAAACTGGCAAGGTCACTCTAGGGCAAGAAGCTAGAAATTCCTGAGACCTAGCAACCAAGGGAGTGTCAAGCACAGCTGATGGGAAACCCAGCCTGGGCCTCCAGAGACTTCAGTGGAGCAGACATCAGCCTAGACCTCACAGTTTAAACAGGCTCACCTACGAACACACATATGCACAATGAGCTCATGTGAGCACCCACAGCCGCTTATGGGTCATGTGAGCATGGTTTTCAGCTTCTGGAAAACCTGGACTCCTGAGCAAGTATGGGAAACACCACAGCTCCCAGATGCATGCAGCCACTTTCAGATCATCAGTACTCAAGAACACCATGTGCATCCTGGGTCTGTGCACACTCTATCTCCCATACATGGCTGAAATAGAGCATTTGTGAGACTCACCAAGAAGGCACTTTGCTGCTGATTTGGGGACCACAGTGACATTTGGGTCCTGTTGGTAGCCAGTGCCTAGGTGCCTGACATGAGGCTGGAACACTACTCATGGTGTTGTGGGAAGCAGGATAGAGCTAAGGATGGGCTAGTTGAGATGCAGATAGCAGAGACATGGCCCAGAAAGATCATCCTCAGAGAAATTAGGGGCTCACAAGAGACACTTAGGCTACCTCCTGGCACAGGGTGGTGTCTGGTGCTAAGAGGAGGACTTTCTTACCTGAGGTCTGCTCCTGTGGTTTCTGGGGGTCCTGAGTAAGAAAAAAAAAAGAGAAAAACAGGGAAACACATATGGGACATAGAAAAGAATGTCCTCCAAGGTCAAGGGAGGAAGCTGCTTCCTCAGCCACATGTTTGGTCTAGATACTCGCCTGGAGTTTTTGCAGAGTGAGCCTGATCCTCTTAGCACCCTCAGGGACTAAGCAATATCTCTCTAACTGCAGAAAGATGTCATCAGACATTACCCACTAGCTGATCAAGCTGTTCAGAGGACAGATGGGCAAGTGTCTGCTCCCCCAGATATGGGCACTGGTGGCAAAGAGGCACAGGAGTCCAACCAGGGAAGGCATCCTTAAGGCGCTCAGAGGTCCTGAACACCCTGTGTATGACATGACAGGAAGTACCCCAGGTTAGGTGCTGGGGTTCAGTGCTAACAGAGTGAGCATGGGCCCCCATCTTTCTCGCTCTATTGCCAGCTCCACCCATCAACCTCCCATTCCCTACCAGCATCAAGGCCTACCTTTGGGAGGGAAGTAGGCTGGTGACAAGCCAAAGGCAATTCACTTCCAAACAAAAGAACTAAGTTTTGCTAAGTTTTCCCAGTCTATGGAGCTGCATTTATCTCCATATCTCTGTCTCTGGTAGGTTTGCCTGGGCCAAAGGCCCTCAGCAGCCCCCTTAGGTGCGTCCCTGAGGAAGGAAAAGGATGACATGGCTCCCAGGTCCCCTAAGTGAGCGATGGTCCCACACACTTGAGCATTCGGAGTGTGGGCTTTTTCCAGACAATCATTGAGGAGAATGGCACAAGCACTTCCAAGAAGGAGCACCAATGCCAAGAGTTCATGCTGGGCAGCAGCACTTACCGCGGAGGGCTTTGGACCGTGTGCGGGCTCTCTTGTCATCACTTTCTAAGCTCATCTGCAAGCAAAAAGCAACTGTGATATTAATAAAAAGCCACAGCCAGCACTTACTATGTCCAGAATTACTGGGGCATCTGGCAATCTCTGGCTCAGCTTTAAAATTGAAGATGAATTTGTGGCCCAGAATAAGAGAAGGACTACAAACAGCAGTCTGTCTCTCTGACCTGGGTTCACAGAAACCCACAAAAGCCAAAGCACAGAACCTTCCCTCCACCATCCTCAGACACCTGGGATTTTGGTAACAAGGAGATCCTGGCACAGTGAGGTACAATACCTGCTACCCACCTGGCCAAATAGGTGCTCAGCACCTGGGCAGATTGCCCACTGCCCATGGAGCAGGGTCAGCCCCATGTGCCCTGAGCCTGGCTCCTCTTTACTGCTCAGTGGAGGTGTTCATGCCCCTAACACTCTAGAGTCATACTTTTGGAAACCAGCAGCCTAAGAAAACCTCAGCCACTTGAGTTCTGACCTCAGGGGTCTGGATCTCCTGCCTAAGCCCATCATGTTTCAACTCCCTATACCCCTGACAACTGATCAGCCTCTGTGGGCATGCTGGCCATACATGGCTCTATAAGGGGGCAAGGAAGAGCCCTCAGAGGGTGACAACCACAGCCTTCCTAGGGGTGAAGGCTATCATGCAGATGTCCCATTCTGCATCACCACAGCAAACCTGAAGGTGAAATCTTGGCATACTCTGTACTGTGCAGAACAACTCTTTTCCAGGGAGCAAGACCAAGCAGGTCAAGTGTACACACCAGGAAGAGAGTGGGCTAGTCTGGATGACAGCACTTGTCCTTAAGATCATGAAGAAGAAGGTCAAACTCATGAATATCCTGGCCACAGACAACCAGAGCCATATATGTGAGATTGTCAAGAGAGGGCAGGAAAGGAGAAGTCTGAGGAAGAAAGAAAGCCAGGAAGACAGAAACAGGGTCCAGAAACCTCTGCTTTAAATGAGGCTTCTAGGTCCTAAAAGTCAACAAGAAGCAAATATCTACACTATCACCTAAGGAAGAAAAAGTAATTCCTTCACTTTGTTTATTTATTTTTTTTTATTTTTATTTTTCAACAAATAATACACTGCATATGTTCTTCTTAGTGGTTAATTGCTGTACAAGATGCGGACTTGTGATCCTATTTACAAACACCATTAGAACAAATCATTCTATTCATTAACAGAATGTAACTATATATCTATCCCAACCACTTTGAATACACAGATACAAAATGGACATTCATCTGTATACCCCATTTTTTCTAAGTTCCGTTATTGAATATTATAGGTGTGTAATTCCTTCACTTTGTAGGATGAAATTTGTAAAGCGAACCACCACCATGCAGCAATGTAACTTACAATGATTTATGTAATTTGTTAAGGAAGGAAAATCAAAACCTGGGTAATTTATGCAACCTGTCTGCTCCAGGCTGTGGAGCGCAGTGCTAGAAGCTGTGCATTTATCATAGCTTTCCCACAGAACAGAAGACAATTACTGTAATCTCTATTTTTAAAGCAAAAGTTCCCCATGGGCCAATGGCTCACACTTAAAGAGAAGAGAGGAGCAGGTGTCAAAAGGACTTCATTACATTTATAAGCCTTCAAATGTGGACTGCACAGTGCCTTCCAACATAGGCCACACAATGAAGCTGATGCATCTGATTGCTGGACGCCTGCGTTCAAATGAAACACAAGCTATAGCTTTTTGGGGTCAGTTTTCCCAAGGAAATTGGCAAGCATTCTGGTAGATTAAAGTGGTGCTTGGCAATTTGGATTTCCTGCAGATAAATTATTCAAAGTCCAGAGAATAGAGATGGTTGCAGGGATGTGTAACGGGTGCTTGTGAACTGTGAGCTCCCATTGACGAGGCTAACAGCTGTGGCATTCATTTTGATGAGCACCTTTCCATTTACAATCTATCTGCATTAAATGACCAATAAGAGAGAAGTTCTTTTCAGTGCATGTAGCTTTGATTTTTAAGAGGGAAAACCTGGACTTCAGGAGGAAAAGCCAGCCTCTTTAGCATGAGAACAAATTTGTAGCTCAATGGCTTGTGATCTTGGCATCAAGCAAGGGACAAGGGCCTCTGGGCCAGTTGAAACTAGCAGTGGAAATGGCTGTCGAAGCGTCTGGCAGAAGTGTGAAGAACCAGCCCACTCAGTTCATGATGTCGTTTTGCTTTTCAGGACTCAAAACACTATCTGGGAGGCTCTGCTCGCCTCTTCCTTGAAACTGTGTCCCAGTGAGGCAGTCGTGGCCAGTGCACCGCCCAGCCTCAACCACCTACCGGCTCCCAGCACCTCCTGTGACCTCTCCACACAGGGACAGTTCCTGCTCTAAGGTACTTGTCAATTTCTCATTATCTGATTTTTAAAAACCCTTTACTTGTCCAAAGCACAAACCAACCAGGTCTTTTTTTCACACAGCCCACAAATAACTCATTGGTATCTTGTTAGCATGAAAGAGTTCCTTTGTCAAAACAGGCCAAGCTTACTCCCCTTAATGCAAACCCAGAGATCTCACCCAAGAGTAAAGTCTGCTTTGTATCTCTCATACCAACTTCATTCTGCAATCCAGAGCACATCTTACAGCTCTAACTAATACCTCAACAGTTCTGCCTTCTACAAGAAAACTGTGAGGAAGAGAATAATTTACAAATGAACCACATAATGTCTTGCCATATCTAGTAACTGAAGAGAATTTGTTCTGTTTTGTGTTTCTTTTTAATAAATTTAAGGGCAATCGTGTAGGCTCTTTATAAACATATACTGCTCTCACAATGAGCACCCGCCTTTAGACTCACATGCAAGACCAAGTCCCCTGTTAGGCACCAAAATAGTTAAAAGCAAACCCTGCAGATTTCTCTTAACTGTGACAGTTGTGAGCAATACACTCAGAGCCTGACACACAGCTGAAACAAACAATCCATGTCTAGTCTTGAAGGGGAAATCATATGCTCCTAATCCAAACAGCCTTATGTTGGCATTCACTTTCACCCCAGAGACCACAACTGCCCACTGCCTTGCAGCACAAGCTCAGGGGCATCATGGTGGCCCCTAAAAGGATCTCTGTCTTGCTAAAGAGCTCTTCCCACAACACTTCACCTCTGCACTGATGGCCAGTGTCTGAGGGCTAGTCAAAGGCCTGGACTGTGTTGAAGCCTGTCCCCAGCAGGTTTTCTGGCCTCAGGAAATACCAGGCTAGGCCTCCCAAAGTTTTCACTTTACTCCAGGGAGACAGAGAAGGAGCACCTTTGGGTGGCCAGCACTATTGCCCATGCCCAAGCTTCTGTTGTCTCTTGTCTCTGTTCTCTGTCTCTCTCTCTCCTTCTCTCTCTCTCTCTCCCCCCCCATCTCTCTCTCTCTTTCTCTTCATCACATCTCCATCTTTTTTTTTTTTTTTGAACCAGAGATTGAACTCAGGCCCTTGCACTTGCCAGGGAAGAGCTTATTCCATTGAGCCACCTCCCTGGCCCCCACATCTCTAAGATGAATTCATTGTTTCATAGAAATAAGGTCATCTCTTGCAAATATAACTATATCACTTGTGGAAAGCTGACAGTGCCCATCACTGGGATGGCAGAGAAAGGAATGGATAAGCAAATGCAAAAGTGAGTGGGCAAAGGCAGGGCTATGTCTGAAATTCTGAGAATGGGAGATGGAGAGGCACAGGCAGAGGGGGCTGAGCAGAGGTAGCACAATGGCCTAGAATGGGGGCTCTGGGCCTGCCAACCCCACAGGATCATTCATTCTAGCATTGGAAGGCTAACATGGTAGCTTTCTATTTTGTTTAAAACATAGTCCAACAGTCAGAAATCCAGAAAAATTAGAGTGGATTTAGAATTTTAAAAATTCATAAGCTGATGTGGATTACAAGGGCCCACTGAAGAGCTGAGCCTCTTGTACTGTGCTCTTCCTTACAGAGACATGGGGGGGGCGGAAATCTGATGACTCCTGGGACCATGGGCAGCTCATCCCCAAAGGAAGTGGAGAAGAAGCCATGGAAGTGGAGAAGTAACAGGGACATGTCCATCCCCATCCTGCTTGGCCTGGCAGCACCTCACTCACCTGGAGAGGGGAAAAGAAGTACAAGGTTTGTTTTGTTTTCTTCTTTCCTTTTGTGCAGCCAAAAGGGACATTAGTTCTGTTGTCACTGCTGCAGTTCTCTGACAGTGGACAGTACTAACCTGGTCCAGTTTCTATCAATAGGAAGGAGCTCCACTTAAGAGTTAATGAGCAGCTATTTAAGGCCTTATTCCCTTCCTCAAGCATTCTAGAGTGGGGTACCTTACAGCTCCCAACTCATTTGCTGCCCACCTCCACAAGTTCAGCTTCCTTTTCTTTTGAATGTGAGCTCTAAGCCAGGTCAGTACACATCCTGCTTCCCATTTTCTACATCTTTGAGGCCAAACAACATGGCTATTCCCCTGGGAGCAGCCTTATTGCCTTCTGGTTCTTTTCATGACAGTTCTGTTTCCTCTGGGGGACATACCACTGCGCAGCTGAACTTTTCCTGACATTCCACCCATTATGCAACCTTCTTGCAGCTGAGTAGACCAGCCCCTCTTTGGGTATAGAAAGGACTCCCCACCCCCAGGCACTATTTAACATATGAGTTAAGAAGCGGTCTCCTTATGGCAGTAAGCATGGGCTCTTGGCTCATTCAAACCCCCAAATTAAAAATTACAGCTACATAATGGACATCTTTTTTTTTTTTTCAATTTGGAAGCAGATACTTTATTAACTGACCAAATCAGTTAATAAAAACACCATGGTAGATACCTTAGTTCATCCTTCTAATAAGCCTGTTGATCTGGTCTTCCCTATTTCCTGCATCTCCACCTTCCACAAAATGGGTGGTCTTTTTCTTCATTCCACCTTGAGGAGATGATAACTTGAATGGCCACAGGAAATTATTTGCCTCTTTGAAGCATTTTCCAACAGTATAGATCTCATGAATCAGATCCTCCATGCAGATGATTCCATATTTACCAAGAGATCGAG